TATATTCTATGTGTTTACATTCAATTAAGTTTGCTAAATTACACTCAGTTATAACTAACTGACAAATACTGGATCCTTCTGATAAGGTTATTGGTTCTTCCGTAATATTTGTTACTCCAATAATAATATCCCCAGTATAATTAGGGTCAATTACGCCCCTAAATATCGATAATTTCCCCATTATCCTGGACTTTGGATATATGATACCACAAGTAGTTGTGTTAATTAATATTTTTGTTTGTGTACCAATTTTTATCATTATATTAGGTTCCAGAACTACTTCTGATTGCAAATATAAATCAATGCCCGTGTCAAAGCCATATGGGGCTGTCTTTGGCGGATATTTTCCAGTGCAAGAGAAGTAAGTATCCAATTTTTTACCTTTTTGGTACACCCTGAGTTTATCCTTAGACAGTTTTTCAATTAAATCTAATTTTTCCACGTTTGAATGTAATAATTGTAAATTAATTGAATATCCAATAGATGACAGTTCATTATCCTCATTATTCAAGTTATCTGATACAAGAATATTGTTACATAACGGTGTGTCCAATAAAATGTTTTCTGGAAATTCAGGCGATATTTTTCATCTACAAGTTTGCTCCGATCTCTCCTCGGACTCCACATCTTCTATAGTGAAGTCCAGTTCGCTCCTTGTTCCTTTTTCCATGTGTTTAATTATATCAACATATGTTTTCCTTCTTTTCCATCCTGGTCTAACAGCTATATTTTTAGACTTTTTTATCACTCTTTGTCCAATGATAATTTTTTTAGCTGTTTTTTCGTATTTTCTCAATCTTCCTTTGTTGTTTATATATCCGGCACTTAATAGAATTTTTAGATCAGGGAATGTATCAATTAAAACATTGTTCTGTTTTGGGACTCTGAACGTATGTTTTATGTTTTCTAAATCCAGGTCTATGCTGAACTCCTTGCATTCAAATGGTTTATCCTCTTGGAATATTGAGATCAATCCACTGGAAGGCGTCTCTCTCCAGGATCCTTGGTTCTTCGTGTATTCAACCAGAAGATGTTGCAAACACGCTATCATATTCAGTTCATACGTTATTGGGAAATTATTTTTTATATGTTCCAAGTCCATTCCGAGGGGAAAATATTTTTGTTGTATTATACGCTGAGATTCTGATCCTAATTCCGTACTGTTGACATTGAGATCTTCTTCTTCCCATTGACTTTCATCCAAACTGTTTAGTAGATCTCCAGCCACTTTAGGCTTATTTTCCTCTCTGCAACGTAGGATTGTACGCCAGACTTTCATAGTTGCACATTGTCGATATCTTCCTCCTAAATCTTCTTTAGTGCTGTCGTATCCTTCAGCTTCCAGCAACGCATTCATAATTGATTTATCCACCATTTTATGGATAGCTTCACTCTTTAGCTGATCTCCTAAGTATCCGTTAAAACATTTGAATTGATAACTTTTGCTATTCAACATGATTTTTTCTTCCATGTAATTCATTTTAGGTTCCATGGTAAGTTTGGTTTTCTTAATCACTGACATTATCTTCATCAGATTTTTCATTTCCGGGCCTTGGTATAAATATCCATCTTCTATATTTACTAATTCTTCCATTAAACTTTCACATTTATTCCTCTTTCCTTGTGTAAAATTCTCCCCGTTCAATTTCTGTCTCAACTCGAACTTCAGTCCGGATCTGTTTGCATCATGAGCCGGATCTTCAAATTCAATCCGATGTCGTGTTAGTTCCAGGTGACTGATTTCTTTTTTCGTTGACGTTTTCATGTTAGCATTCTCCTTCCAGATCTTCACTTTATTGAAAATGCTAGTATTTCCGATCATTGATTCATTATTGTCCTCATCTTCATCGATCATAAGTGTTCCTACACTCTCCTCATCATAATCCCGTTCAATGACCTGTCGGGCATTTGGGTTCACCAAATTGTTATCTTGTTCCTGGATATAATCTGGGTTCTTATATTCTAAGTGTTTTTCTTTATCCGTGTAGTATCCTGGTCCAGGGCTATCATTTTTTTTATTCTTGTTATTGTCCATATATTCTACTTTTGAATTATAACCAATTGCATCCCAGTTTCTTGCAAGTTTGTCTTGTTTCGAGTTAAATTTGCCTTGATTCCAGGTTGGATAATTGGAACTGTGTCCGGGTTGATTCTGGTGATAGTTTTCGACGTTTGAAAATGTATCCTGAGTTTGTCTCGAGGTATAATTGCTTCCAAAACGTCCTCTTGGAGAAGATGATGGCCATCTTCTGTTATAAGTGTTCCACTTTGAACCTCTTCCACCTAATCTGTGTTGTAATTTTTTGTCTACCCAGTCTGTTATAGTCAAATCCGCGATCTTCATCTTGAGTTGCGTTTATCCTCCTAGGATCTCGGCTTATTCTTTCTGTTTCTATCTTTCTTGGGATTTTAAAAGCATTATATTCCGCTGTATTATAATTTTCAACAGGTTCATCAGAAGTAATCTCGCTCTTGTTTTTCTCGTGTCTAATATTATCTTCTAGGGTTGAATCTTGGTCTGGAATCGATTCTTCTTCCCATTCATAATTTAGCTCCGAGCCCAGGTTTAAGGTGAGAGTTGGAGATCCTCGTCCAGCTTCCATGTCTTTATCTAGAATATTTATTCTATAAATTTCAATAAGACTTATTTTAAAATTTTTCCAAGATTCAAATTTTGTGTTTGTGTTTAGCTATAATAGTCTTTATGTTGCCAATATGTTTATTGTTGTTTTTTTTTTTTTACCTTCTCCATCCTGGTTTGTTCTTCTAAACTTTTGATTTGTGTTCATCTTCTTGTTCACACAAAACCTTGATGGCATATAATTAGATTATATTATAATGTCTTACTTTATGTTTAGTTTTATTCTTATTTTATTTGCTGTTTTTTTTCTATATTTTTTTTTATGAGATTTTATTAATTAATAAATGCTATAGGAGTTGCGTTATTATTCAAGATGAATACACAGTTCATCTAAGCACGAGGTAAGTTTATTTAGGTGTTCCAAGACTGAATTAAAATCAGAGGATTCCTTATTCATCTTTTCATTAATTATACTTAACAAAGTGTTCACGTTATTACGCATTTCTATAATAATTTTTTTCTTCATTTCTGTTTGTTCATTAATCAATCCATCGTTGATATTTGTTGTTTGTATATTCTCATTATTTTCACGTTCATTTATATTAGTTTCAATTGTTCCACGATCTTCGTCCGTCGCGATCGTCACTATTGGTACTTCGCTAGAACTATGGAAAGGGGTTATGTCTTCCGGATCTATTTCGTCATCGGAAAATTCAATATGAAATGGGTTTCGGTATCTCCATTGAAAGTTACTCATGTTTATTGAGTCTCACATAACCTTCCTCTTCTATTACCTATTTATTTCGATGGTCAGATTTAGATCTTAAATCCTCATCTTAGAATTGGTTCTAGGTCTGGGTTCTAGTTTCATAGGGTACTCCGTCCTCGGTGTTCTAAATTAAAATTATTTTATTATTAAGGTATAATTATAATAATATTTTCTGTATATGAAACAGGATTAGAGTTCAGTTTGATTGTACCTGATGAATTTTCCGTAATTATCCTTTCCTCCGTTATTCCAGTACTGGCAAGCTTAGTTCCTGCTGGTAAGTATCCAATCTATAATTATTAAATTTTTGATATTCCCAAAATTCTAATAATTGAGATAACAACTTTATTTTATTTTTCTCTTTTGCAAACGAAATTATTTTAAAAACTTCATTTTTACGGTTTCATTGTGTACCTGTCTCCTCCTTTAATTTTTCCGTTTCCACACGATTCGATTTCGTTATTGAATTAGCAGAATCTCGATCTATAAATATTCGAATATTAATCAATCAATCAATAAATGTCAATTTTTGTCTTGTTTTCTTTTTAAAATCATTATTCCATATTTGTGTTGACTAAATATTTAATATTATTATGCAATTTAGGTTTGTTTTTTTAGGGAAATATTTTCATTATTGATATATGTCGTACCTGTTAAGTTTATATTGTTGCTCAAAATTGGTTTTCAATTGGTTTGTAACACCATTCTCTCTGAAATGGATTTGCTAATTAATTTCATGATTTATAACTATTATTTAGCCAAAAAAAAAAATTGAAAAACTATGTTTAAAATAATTCTAATCTTCGTTTGCTTCATCATTCTCGTCTGTACTTTCCTCTTCGGAGCTGTCCTCTCGTGATGAAGCTGGAGAATTAACTTTCATTTGTATTTGATAATTACAATTTGCAGGATGTAGTTCGTGTTCTGGTGTCGGTTTTACTTGTGTAAACATTAGGTCTGAGACGTCCAATTCCTCTGGGTCTTCTATGTTCAACTGTCTCGTCCCACATAGATGCATATTGTAGTAGGCTTGCCCTTCGGTTATGTATTGTTTAAACTTTTTTTCCTGCAGGTTTATATTTTCTTTCCACTTTTCCAGTAATTTTCCCTTCATCCAGCTATACAGATTTACTGAGTCCTCATGACCGATCATAAATTCGTCGTTTTCATGATCAATAAAGTCGCTGTGTTGAAGATCTCGATGATTTGAGATTTCTTCTGCTATTTTTTCATTCAGTCTTTCTATTTCACGTCTTATTTCGTCTGAGCGGTTATTAAATCGAACGTTATTTTCTATAAAGTCCGATTCATGGTCATCCCTAAATTGTTTCAGACGTTCCAGCTCTTCTAATGTTGGTTTCACTTCTTGCTTGTTCAAATTATGGTATCCTTCCAGAGTTGTAATTCCTTTTTCATCTTCCTCCATGATTTGTTTCTCCTGATTAAAGGCGGTGTTCTACGTTGTAATCCAGGTAATGCATTTGTTTCTGTAATATATATATATATATATTTGCGGATATTATTCAATCAATCAATTACCAATTCATTAATCAATTATTTTATTTATTTTTAGTTGAGTAGGCATTTTATGCAATATTCGATTATTTTAGTTTGTTTTTATTGAAATTTTGCTTTAAACGAATTTTTTTATTTTTGTTTTCAAAGTTTTAAAATTAATTTCCCCGCATAGATATATACAGATATCCTTATTACGAATATTAATCCTCCAGGAGAGGATTTTTCTTGACGTGTTCATCCATTCTGCGTGAAAACATTAAATGGTGAAGTTCAGTTCGAGTAGATTCCAATTCTTCCTCCAAACGATTATAATTTTCTCTCCAAATATTCCCGTTCTTCCAGTTTGCTTCTTGAGCAGTTTCCAGTTGTTTTTCCAATTCTTTTATTCGAACTGATTGTTTTTTAATCAAAGTCTTTATTGTTTTTATTTCTATCTTGTGAGCGATGTTCGTTATTTTAGTTTGCATTATTTCATCTTCCTTGACTTGATCATGTTTCGCCAGGTTGTCCTCAGTTACCATCTCTGTCAACTTCGTTATTCTCCTTGCTAGGGAATCTAAGGCGAGAAACACTGTTCCTTCTCGACCCTCAAACCTAGCTATTCTTTTTTTCAGATGGTAGATATCGTCCTCCGCGATGTTCAGATTACTCATCGTATAATCAATGTCTTTCCGAGCTTTTATTTTCTCTCGTTCTTCCATTGAGATATATTCGTTTTCTATTCCTTCTGGCCATGTATCCAAAAGTATTTCCTTAGCCGTAGGATCAGTGTTAGAGTTCGTTAAAGCATCTTCATAGATGGTCACCAGACTATTTCCATTCCATTCAAAACCGCCAAATTCCACTTCGGAGGAGCAGCTTTCCTTTTCGTACTTGTCCTCATCCATCATTGCTAATATGTTTGTGTAAGTGTTTAGATCGTCTGCCTTCTGTATCCAGTATTTGGCCTCCATGTCATCCTCGATCTTCGTGTTGTTCGTTGAAGTGGTTGCCGCCGTTGGTGTGTGTGGGCGTTGAATTTTCGTTTGTTCGCCTTGATGTTCATCATCCGAGCTTGTCTGTTCTGAGTAGTATAACTGAAAATTTATATTTTTATTTTCAGAAATTCTTAAATTTCAATTATCAATTATATAAAAATTTGCAAATTTCTTTTAATTTATTTTCCCAGTTTTTCATTAAATTTCTTTTTTAAACATTAAATTATTTTGATGTCTTTAATTCAATATTTATAATGTCATCATAGGCTACCTGGTCCTCGCCTGTTTCTTTATCTTCTTCATCAGAGCTTGTCTCCGCTGAGAAGTATAACTGAAAATATATTTTTTATTATTTTCAAATTCTTTAAATTTTAATTTTCATATATCTTAAAATTGTTTTAATTTATTTTCTCAGTTATTATCTCAGTTATATTATTCACAATATTGGATTAATATTAATGTATTTAATTGGACATTTTCAATTCCATTTTAGGCTACCTGGTCCTCGTTTTTATTTTTATCTCTGTCATTAGAGCTTGTCTCGTCTGAGTAGTATAACTGAAAATGTATATTTTATTATTCTTTTTTTCAAAAAATTTTTATATTTAGAAATGGGAAATTTGTTTTAATTTATTTTTCCAGTTACTTTTAAATAAATCCCTATTTGTTTCAATTTATTTTTCCAGTTACTCTTAAATAAATCCCTATTTAGGAATTTTAATTATTCCCAATATTGAAATTTTATTATTATAATTAATCTGATATTTTTAATTTCATCTTAGGCTACCTGGTCTTCCGATTCAATAGCCATCAGTTCTTTGAGGATTTCCTCCTGTCTCCAGGTAATGGTCATCAAAATTTCATCCTGATTTTCCACGGATTCTGCCATATTCTCTGAAAAATTTTATTTATCAGATATTTCAAATTATCAATTTTATGTACAGGGTGTAAATTTTACATTTCTCAGTTTTCATTATTTAATTTAGATAAAACTTTAAAGTACAAGCGGATATTAATAAATATATGTGTTCAATATATTTATAATCATATTCCTGTTGTTTAGATATTTATTCCTGCTTTCCTAAAATATTCTTCTCCAGTCTTCATTATTTTTTCTCTTTGGGTTTCCATATGAATCCCCAGGCGTCCGCACTCCTTTAAGATATCCAAATCTTCCTCTTCAAAATCTTCCCAGAAGTTCTCAATTATTATTTTGTAATCCTTCCATTTACATCTGTTCTCCAAAGTCTGGCATATTTCCATCCATATCTCGTATTCTTGTTCTAGATATTTTTCCTCCCATTCGTTATTTTGTACCGGATTCTTAAATTTTTCCCAGGTCAAAGTATTATTTTCCTCCCATTTCTGGTACATTGGCATGGTTTCTATTATATCAAAATAGGACTTTGTATTTTTTAGACACTCCAAAATCAATCTTATTCCGGTCCGTATGTTCTCCTTTACTTCTGATTCCATCTCCTTTTCCATTTTCATCTTTTTCATCAACGCCAGTCTCTTCTTTTCCTCAATTAACATTAAGTTCAGCAACTCCCTAATGTGCGATCTGTCTGTTGTAATTTCCGTGGTTGTCGGTTCCGGAGTATCACGCAAAAGTTCCTCTATGTCTACATCCCTTTCGTAGTGGGTTGTAGCTGTGATGGTCACGTTTTCAGTTGGACACGTTCCGGTCAGCTCTAGAGACTCTTCCATCTCACATAGGCTGTCTGCCTCATCGTCACCATCCACCGTCACATGTTCAATCAACTCTTGTTCGGAATCCATATCCATTCTAAAGAGAATGCTATTAGGTACATTCTTATATTAAATATTTATATAATTTTTATTTGTGTATTGTATTTTTATTTTTACTTTATTCAATTTTTATATTTATTTTGTGTTTCGGCATGTTAGGAATATTTCATGATGTATGTTTGGTACAAGTAATATCATAATAAATAAATTTATTTATTACTTATTAGATTTTAGAACAAATCCTCTTCATCGTTTATAAATTGTCAATCTCTGCCTTATTCAATTAAGGGTTTGACTGATCCGTTAATGTTTTTATTTTATTAATAAAAACCATTCTTTATTCTATTAAAGAAAATCAACATTCATATTGTTCAAAAGTTCATTATCCTATTATTAATTAAGTTATCATAAATATATTTATTATGATTTATATTTTAGTAAAAGATTTATCCAGTATTTTACCTGGTAAATCGTACACTTCTATTTCTCAAATTCAGAGTGCGTCCGTTTTCCTGTTCGGTTTCCTGTTCAATCTCTGGTGTCCTAGGAATAATTAAATCAGGTGAATCGGGGGGTTTATCCTTCCAGTCCCCTGAGTTATCAATCAATTTATCCATAGTCTTTTTATCCATTAACCTTTCTTCATCATTATCAACTGGTATAAGATCATCATTATTTTTATTTGGGTCTATTTCCTTGTCGAAATTAAACAATGGTTTATTAAAATCTTGAGAACCTGGTTTTGTGAATCTTGCTAAATTTACTATCTCCTTAATATAATTTTCTGCTGACCATTCCGAGATAAATTCATTAATATGTATTTTCCTTATTTGAGATTTATGTACTGTATGTATAGAACCTGTTCTCAAAAACATAATTTCCAAATTTTTAGATTTCGAAGCTTTGCCTAATACTTGAAAAAGGTCTAAATATAATTTAGGTGATAGTTGTTTTGATACACCTGCTGCTGGATTGGTATTATCTAAAAATAACACAATATCCCCTGTGTGTATTGTTTCTTGTTTGATATTTAATTTTGACATTTTTATGTTTTCTAATTTTTTTAATTCTTTGTTTTTTTTGAATTTATTAATTGCTTCCTCGTCGTTATTTACATATTCGAATATACGTTCTGCACCAACCGTGTTAAAAATATTACGGGCTGAAGATTTAAAAAAGAATTTTTCCCTTGTTATATCAGCTTTATTTACTGGAATATTATTTATTGCTTTTACTGTAATGTTTAAGAAATCACTCCAATTGGACTTTGCTAATTTAAGATTTGGGTCATAAATTGCTTGTTTTAATTTATTTTTTATAAGTTTTACTCCAATTTCTGAACAACCGTTTTGTTCATGTCTGTATGGTGCTGATGTGGTTATGATAAAAGGAATTCTTTTTGCTAGATTCTCAAGTGCCTTAGTTATTCTTCGATCGCAATCCGTTCTTACACATCTAGGAAATCCTAAAGTAGAAAATACTACGCTTAATGCCTTTTCTATTTCTGAAGATTCAATATTTTTTAACGGAATAGCTATCAAGTAATTTGTGTATTCGTCCACAATAATAAGAATCGAGTTATAACTGTTAGAATTTGGTAGAGACGGAATTAAATCCAGATTTAACAATTCTCTTGCTGATTTTGCTTCAAAAGATCTTATTTCCGATCGTACTGATTTTCCTGCGATTTTAGATGCAGATGTGCATCTACACGTTAGACAGCTATTTGAATATTTAGTAACATACAGCATTGCGAAAGGATGATAAAAATATTTTTTAAAGTTTGATATACATTGGCGTTTTGAACAATGAAGCAGTTTATCATGTATACATTTAATTATGCTAATTAATAAAATTGACGGAATGCAGAGTCTATAGTGCCCTTTTGAATTTTTATAAAGCATTTTATTTATTATTATAAAAGGATCTTTAGACTTGATCTTGGATTCGTTATAAATACTGCCTAAATATTCGTCTTGAATTTGCAAGTTTTTAATTGCTTTATTATCGAAATTTTCGTCCTTCATAGCATCAGTATATAGTGTTGCATTTTTTAAAGTTTGTCGATTTAAATATTCCTTAATCATATCCTGACGTTCCGTCTCATTTAGGGTTAAATATTTTCCTCTTATATAATTCAATCCCTTTTTTCTTAGTACCTGACTTTGTTCATTTTCATCCAGATTCTGATTTGTAATGTTGTAATCTCCAGCTGTCTCTTCTAAAATATTATAAATTTTAGTTTTCTCAAAGATTTTATTATTTGGCATCAGATCATCAATACAATCTATAAAACTTAAATTATTTTTGATAATTTCTGTATCACTGACAGATATATTATTTCCTGAACTTCCAAAGCCTTTATCACCCCTGTTATTTTCGCCTGATATATATTCTATGTGTTTACATTTAATTAAGTTTGCTAAATTACACTCAGTTATAACCAACTGACATATACTGGATCCCTCCGATAAAGTTATAGGTTCTTTCGTAATATTTGTCACTCCAATAATAATATCCCCAGTATAATTAGGGTCAATTACGCCCCTAAATATCGATAATTTCCCCATTATCCTGGACTTTGGATATATGATACCACAAGTAGTTGTATTAATTAATATTTTAGTTTGTGTATTAATTTTTATCATTATATTAGGTTCCAGAACTACTTCCCATTGCAGATATAAATCGATCCCCGTGTCGAATCCATATGGAGCTGTCTTTGGTGGAAATTTTCCAGTACAAGAGAAGTAAGTATCCAATTTTTTACCTTTTTGGTACACCCTGAGTTCATCCTTTGATAATTTTTCAATTAAATCTAATTTTTCCACGTTTGAATGTAATAATTGTAAATTAATTGAGTATCCAATAGATGACAGTTCATTATCCTCATTATCCAAGTTTTCTGTTAGAACAATATTATTACATAACGGTGTGTCCAATAAAATGTTTTCTGGAATTTCAGGCAATATTTTAGCTTCAGTCCCATTGTCATTTATTATTGATTGGCTATAGGTGTAATTATTATGATTGGTTGAATATGAGTTTAAATTTTCACAGCTGATTTTTATATCCTTATTTATTTCTTCTACTAATTTCGTGGATAAGTCTTCATAAATGTTAAGTAAATAAGCTGAACTTGATTCTATCCGCCTCATTTTTAAGAAATTATTTAATAATGCATCCGTTATCCTAATTTTATATTTTGGATCTAAATCTGTTCCGAATTGATTTTCAATTATTCGTTCTAAAATTGGTTTTATGAATGTTGCTTTTTTGATTCAGATCCTTTACTAATGTCATGATTTATAAGATGTTTAATTTCGTCTTTACTAAGTCTCAAGTTATTTGTTCCCTCAACCTCAATTGTAGAGTTTAATTTTGACGAACTTATCTTTTTACTTATTTGTTTTAATAATAAAATTGTATCTATATTGTTACATAAATCTAAAGCGTGGGTTCTCATAAAGTATGAATTCTAAAGCTCCACGCTTAACCTTCAAACAAAATACTTAGCCCTACCTTTCAGCAGACAAAGAACCCTACATCCACGTAAAAAAAACCAGATATTCCTGGATCAAACAAACATCAAATACAAAAACATAAACTTTAATATATTTTTTCACAAAAACTAAAAGATATAAAAAACTGCACCAATTCTATTTCGTTTATTAAAATAACAAATTGTAATAATATGACTATTAATTAAATTTATATATTTTTATGAAACCCCTACACTGGCTCCCTGGCTACACCAAGAACGTAGACCTTGAACAAAACAGGCAACTTCAATCCTGCAAGACAAACCAACAAGCAGTTCAAGTCAGGATATGAGCTAGAGAGGTTCCTCCAAGTCCTGATATAAAATGCTCTGTTGAACTCAGTAAACCCTGTTGAATATTTTTCTCCGCAAAAATTCTAAAAAAGTTCTCTCGTTGTTGTAGACTGCAACCAAAACAGTAAAGAAAGCAACCAGGGCAGTGTCCATGGCTAGAGTTCTAGCTTGACTGGTTGAGTATAGAGTTCTTTGGGTTACTGCACTTTGTATAGACTAGATAGTGTAAACTATATTTCTTATTATCAAGCCAAGATAAATGCCAAGAATTCATGACTTTAAAATATGAACCGTTTAAAGTTAAGGTTACAAGCAACAAATATAGAAAGACAGAAGTGTTTATGATTTCAAAGATTTATCTATATTTATTTCACTATGCATAAATATATTTTATTAATATTCTTCACATATAGATAAATAAAAACCAAATATTTGGATATTGATGATTTTATATTTTATTAATATTCTGTATAAGTATTTTTAGGTTAAATTTATATATATATTTTCTATATTTATCATTTTAGTAATGAACGAGTTTTATATAACCAAAATTTTCAGTAACAGATCAAAATATTTGAATTTTATTTTTGTAAATTCTTGTTAATTTAAGCATTTCATATTTTGTCTACACTAAATTATAAGTACACAAAGTACATTCAATAATTATAGAAATATTTATATTTTTTTTATAATTTAGGTGTTTTAGCCTTTATTCAGTTTTGATAACAATCTAATTTTTTACAAATAAAAATGTTTAGAAACATTGAATATCAAAATTACAGAGAAGGAAATGAACACCCCCCCTTCCCCCCCCCCTTCAAAAAAATTTGTATCGATTTAGACACTTAATATTTTTTTAGTTTGAAAAAATATTTGTGTAATCCTCATAATCAAATAATTTCAGATTTTATAGTGATTTAAATCTGAATTTTTAAGTTAAAATCTCCAACTATATAACTATTTAAGACTAGCCACGTAGTGTTTGTAAGACTAACTACGAAAAGTTTAACTAAGAGTTTAACTTTAAATCTTTACGCTAATATCTCTCAATAACTGATTTGCAATAACATTTTTTTATTCAACACTAACAAAGCCAGAAACTTTGATTAATGACTCTACAAAGACAGAACTATGATAAGATTAAAAACTTACTTTTTATCTGTCAGAAGGTATATTTCACTTTTTGATTGTGTAAAAACTTAGAGTAGGGTGGCAATACATAATACATACATGGTATTATACTAAATTACAAAGGGTTACAGTTTGCTCACAGTTTGAAGTTAATAAAAACAAGGATGTCTTTTTCATTGCAACGCTAAGATAAATGTCTAGAATTTATGATTTTTTAGAATATGAATCTTAAAAGTTAAGGTTACGAGCACATACATAGAAAAACAGAAGTTTTTATGATTTCAAAGATTTATCTGTACTTATGCATTTTATTAATTTACTTCTGAAAGTGTTTATTAAACCATTTCCAGTAAAAAGTCGTCTTCCTATTCCACTTTAATCTAGGGACCAGTGTAAATTTTAACTTATTTTTACAAAACATTTTAATATTCTGTTTTAAAGATGAGTTGTAAATGTTTAAGAAATAGTTTAATAGTTTTAATTATATTTGATATTATAAAATTGTAAACTTTTACATTACACTTGATCAACTCTTGATCAACTATGTATATTTACTTGATCAACTATGTATATTTTATGTATTACTTAATGAGTAAATAAATAGATGTAAACATATTGATTTAAAGCAGTGTGGTTTTGGTGCAAAAGAATTTATACATGTACAAAATATGTATAGATTTAACTATAAAGTTGTGAACTACCAGATGGAGAAGGTCAAACTTATTGCGTTATTACTAGTCCAACACTTTGATCTTGTAGCTTCCCTGAGATGAGATTTTAAAAGCCTCGAACCCGAGTAAAACCCAAACTCTGGATTAGATAAAACCCAAGTCAGGATTGGTTCTGATTCGACCAATGAGAGACTGTTTAGCAAGCTTTCTCTCTGAGGCAGACAGAATGCCGTCAGATCAGCTATGTGACAAGGAAATGTAAAATTCAAACTTAATTTAGTATGTTTATTTTATATATTTAATAAAATTTGACACCACAAATAATTTAAATAATAGTTTTGATTTTATGAAGTATGAGAAAGGAACTTTGTCTTTGCCACAACTTTAAATTCTTGAATCCTTATGTCTTTGCATACTAATGGTTTAATTTTTTTTATCACAGAATGCTTACTTTAAAATTGCTAAGGTCTAGATGTCATCGCGGGCTCTATTTAAATATCATGAATTAAAAAAAATGTTTGTTTTTTCTTCTCACTAGCTCTTTAATAAGAATAGTTATGATCATAGCTGAAGGACCCGGCGTTTCCCGTGGATTTTTTTTTATTTTAAAAATTTCAGAAAAAAAATTCGATTTTTTATCCTTTACCACGGCCACCCATGAGTGTCCACAAAAAAATTCAGCTCAATTGGACCAGCTGTTTTTAAAAATTTCAGTAAACAATTCGATTTTTTTATCATATAACACGGCCACTCATGAGTGTCCACAAAAAAATTCAGCCCAATCGGTCCAGCCGCTTGGCCAGCTATATACGACATATGTATATAGATAGATTTAAAGTGCAATTTACTTTCGCTTGGCGTGGTCGAGTTAAACTCTGAAAACCTCTCGTTATTGAAATGAAAATTTTACACTTTCTTTTTTAAAACTGACGGCTTCTTGAAAGCGAAGATCTTTTTTGCTTTCAAACTGAAATAAGACAAATATCTAGCAAACAGAAGTTTTTTTTCACTAAATTATAATTCTAACAAAAACAGAACGAACAAAAGTTTTGACACGGATTTCTTTTTACTCTTGAATACTTCGCTCGATGCAATGTAAGAAAGTCTCAGGCAAAAAAGTTTCTGAATAAAAAACCTGGAAATTAAAACTTAGGTAAAAAAGTCGCAATTTTCCTAAGTCTTAGAAACACTGTCACCGGAAATAAAGTCCTAGTTTTATATTCCTGGGACTTTTTTCTTTATGAATTGTTGTAAACATACTTTGTTCCCATGCATATTCACCCTATCAGAGGACTTTTTATGGGGACGTTTTTGTATAAAATAATACAAGAACCAGAAAAAAAGTCCTAGAAAAATAAAGTATCAAAATAGTAGGACTTTTTCTCCAGAGACTTTTTATTTCAAGGACTTTTTTCCAGAGGACTTATATTGAGTGCCAAAATGTAGAACTTTATTTCCGAAACTTTTTTCACATTGATACTCTGTGACACTCTCTAGGTAGGAATTCTTCATTTATACTCTTTGACACAAGCAAAAAACTGCGACGAAAAAAAGCATAAAAATATATTTGTTTGGTCCCCCACGGACCCTACATTACAATTTGAAATTCATACAATTTATATTCACTGTACTGCAGCATACTAGATAGTGTACTGCAGTGTACTGTACTGCACATAATTGTCCAATATATAAGGTACATAATTACACTATTTGAAACATCAACAAAAAATTAACTAAAATAACTAAAAATACTGAGTGGTTAAATATAAAAAGTATTAAAGATAAATTTGAATTTATTCTTGAAAACCTGTAATCAAAATTGTTAAGATATTTAAAAAAATCAAAATTGTATTTCACTTAAATTGTTAGAAATCAGGTAAAGCTGTGTTAAAATTTTTCAATTAACTTCAAATGTTCAAATTTTTGGACATTTTGTTCTTGATAGAGTGTTTGGAAAATCTGATAAAAATCAACCCTATTTTGTTTTCAATTTCTAAAAAATGTTAGTATTTTTGAAACGTTAAATCGGTAAATTCTATATTATTAACAAAATGTTCGGTTTTCTGCTAACAATGCATGTTTGTCAAATGAAAATATATAAAATTTTAATAACTATTTTTCAAATCTAATTCTAGTAAATGTATGATAATACACTTCAGGAAAAATGGATTTGATATTGCAGTTATTATGAAGTTGATTTTGCTAAAGATGTGAACAATAATTTGTTTTATCAATTGATCTCGAGGCGAATTATGAAAATTTTATAAATAACAGCTTCGTCCAGATTTAAAACAGATGAAATAATTTATACTTTGGCTTTATTACTATATTTTTGTCACAATTTTATTCTGTATTTTTCTTGGAGTTGGAATAATTAATAACATCGTTGATAGGTCATTAAATCCGACCGTTAACGAAACATTTCCTAACGATGGTTGCCGTTGGATGTTTTGGTCATACCTATCAATGTCGGGTTTTCCATAAACCTAAACAAATATTTTGTTATGATACAAATCAATCTATAGAGGGCAAATCAAAAAAAAACATAAAACAGGGATTATATCGATGTTTTTGACAAAATGTTCGAATTTTAGGCATAAATAAAATGTGATAAAAAGAACTTAAAAATAGTTTCATGGAACATTGAAAAATAAAATCCGCGAAACCAATTTGTTTTTAAAAAATTAATTGCTTTTTGAAAAATTGTTGGGAAATGGTTTTTCCATTGTTTTTTTATTTCAGATGTTAGCCAATTATTTGCATTTTTGAAGTCATAATAGTTCTAAGGTTATAATTTGAAAACATTTAATGAAGATTTCCACTCAAATTGTTTTGCGGATTTTTTGTTATATTTCAGTCAATTTTTGATGAATTTTTATTAAATTTTGGAAAAACAATAGAAACACCAATATTCCAGCGATTTTTAAAAAAAGTTTTATTTTTTCAAAAAAATTGGTTTTGCAGATTTTTTTTCAAAGTTCCTAAAATATTTTTTAAATTTTTTTTATCACATTTTATTTTATCTATGCTTAAAAATCCGCAAAAAATAATAATAACATTTTGTCCAAAACATCGATTATTCCTGTTTTTTTACTCACCCTGTATACAAATATATATATTTCTTTTTTATTATTTAATGTTAAAACATAAAGAAAGAAGTATAAAAAATCCAAACTCAATCTCAAAATGTCACAAAACAAGTTCACAACTCATTTTCATTTATAAATTAGGAAAAATTCGAATGAAAATCCAGCTATCCAAAAAATTGGAATCCATGTAAAGTCAATAAAGTCTCAGGAAATAAGATCACAGGAATTAAAGTCCTGAAGAAGCTATATTCGAAGAGAAAAAAAACCTTGGAAATATGAGACGTTTTAATAAAAAGGAGTTTTCTTTTATGCATCTCCATAGCCAGGGGGGTTTTTAATATCAAGCCCTTTTTTTCCATGGTTGTAAACATCCTTTGTTCCCTGCATTTTTCACTGTAAGAGCACTTTTTTCCGCTGACTTTTTTGTATGAAATCATACTGGAACCAGAACAAAATTCATAGATAATAAAGTCTCAAAATGGTAGGACCTAATTTCAAGGACCTTTTTCCACAGGACTTTTTTAGTGGCAAAATTTAGGACTTAATTTCCGAAATTTTTTTTCAGAGAATTTTTTTGGCGGTCACCATAAACAAAACTTATCAAATGTTTACCTAGATCTAGGGTTCGAAGCAGTTTTGAAGAGTACATCTTGTCCTAGGTTACTGTACACCGCATTGGTCCTACTGTACAGTTTACATATAAAATTGTCCTAGGTTACTGTACACAGCATTGGTCCTACTGTACAGTTTACATATATAATTGTCCTAGGTTACTACTGTACACAGCATTGGTCCTACTGTAGAGTTTACATAAATAATTGTTCTAGGTTACTTTACACAGCATTGGTCCTACTGTACAGTTTACATAAATAATTGTCCTAGATTACTGTACACAGCATCGGTCATACTGTACAGTTTACATAAATAATTGTCCTAGGTTACTGTACACAACATTGGTCCTACTGTACAGTTTACATGTATAATTGTCCTAGGTTACTGTACACAGCAACGGATCTGTACATATCAACGGATCCAGTGAATGGATTACCTAGGAACGTGAGATGGGAGGGAGGTTGTATAGCAATGGATCTATTTAAATATATTACCTAGGGTGGTGGGGTGGGAGGGAGGTTGTATAGCAATGGATCTATTAAATATATTACCTAGGGTGGTGGGGTGGGAGGGGAGGAGGCATATCAACAGGTCTACTCCTCTCTACTTCCCGGACCTTCCTCCAACTCTTTCTTTTCATTCTTAAGAAAAGTTATTGTCAAAAAATGTTATTTTAATTATTATTATTAACATAATTCTATTAATCTTATTATTTTATTTTCATCATGATAACATCAGTATTATTATTATCATTTTTGCAATCACCAAGATTATTATGATAATGGTATTACCTATAGAAGAAAATGCCAGCTACTACTAGGCCTGTATTGATGAATACGACAACTATAATTATCGCTATTATAGTGCTCTGAGGACTGCAGACAAAACTTGGATCCAAAAGTTCTAAAGATTGTTAAAGCATTAAAATAGTTTATTATTTTTAACCTTAATAAAGCTACGGTTTAATTAAGATAACCAGCAAAAAATAAAAAAAGGCAATCTTCAAATAAAATCAAATCATTTTTTTCACTGCAGAATAATCAAAACAAAACATTAGCACAATAAATAGATGAAAAATATATGAAAAAGTCTAAAAGCTTGACCACTTATTAATGTTCACAGGAGCAAAAACCTAACTTTTTTATTTTCTGAGCAAGAAGAAAAAAAGAAGAAAAAAATAAGATTACCATGTCCCAGGAAGGCTGGATAGTAAGAATCTGTGTCTGGAAAAGCTGAAACAGATTCCGGGGTTTGATCTCCAAATTTTCCAGTTCCTGATTTACTGGGAGGGTGGGGACGAACAACCTAAAAATAACAAAAAGATAAATAATATCCTTTAAGAATAACAAAGAAATATAACTAAAATAACAAAACAAAAAACAATACATCTTCCCCCCTAAAAAAAAATCCTATAAAAGATATTTAAAAAATTCCTTAAAATAAAAACAAAAATAGTAAACATATGCTTTTAAAATATCAAAAATTACTTTTTTGCTATCCTCCGACTTTCGTTCGCGTTTCAAAAAGAAAATGAGGATATCCTCCTTATTGCTACTGAGAAAAATTGATTTGTAACTTTATGCCACTTGAAATTACGTTAAAAGTCCCTTTTAGATTCATATTTACAACTTTTTTCATTTTTCACTTTTGTTTTGTTTCCGATTTTTACCTGATCCTCTCCAACTGTTAGTCGCAGTCCCAGAACTGTTAGTTCCGGTATTAGATTCTTTGGTAGACTGCTTTCCTTTGGACTAGTTGGTAGACTGCTTCCCGTTGGACTAGTTGGTAGACTGCTTCCCGTAGGACTAGTTGGTAGACTGATTTCCGCTGGACTTGACTTCATAGGGCTGACTGGTAGGCTAGCCTTTGAAGTACTGCTGGCGGGTACAGTGGTTTCATCTCCTTCATTGGTCTCTCCACTGTATTTTTAAATGTTAATTTCAGGAATAAAAAAGGTTAAAAGATAAATTTGTTATTCAATATATAAAGTGTATACAGTAAGAACCAGAACACTCTGGAATAGAAAGACGACTTTTAGACTCAAGTTATAACTCTAAATAGTCCAATAAACAGAAGACACATAAATTGTGTAGTGTAAAAAGACTCTTCTTAACTTAATAATTGATACAATAAGTAACTATTAAAACATTAAATACACTGAAGGATTGCTATTCAAAAGTTTTCTGGTTATCACTGTATATATGTTTTTTTTCGCTTTCAACTTTACAAAACCACATCATGATACAAAATTAAATTGAAAAAAAATGAATTAAAAAATACCTAGTTTCTTGAATTGATCTGGTGAATCTGGTGCTGGTTGTAGACGCTATAAATACACAAATATAAATCAGTTTAAAGATACTTTCGTTCCAACTTCAACTGATTCTTCATTTTAGAACGATATCGTTTAACTGTATAAAACCCATTTTATCAAAACACAATTTTAAGCACAAAACCCTATTAATATTGGAAACCGTTGAATATATTGGAAGTTTTAAAAAATTTAAAACTAATTGAAAAATATTTAAAACTTTAAAATACCTTGTAGAATAGTTGTATCTGTTTCGTTTCCAACCTCTCTTTTCCGTCTGCCATAGGAACCTTTAAAAATAGAATTTTAGTAAAAAATCGTGATAAATTTTCTTCAAAGAATATGATACATATAAATGTGAAATGTAAAGAATTAAGACATATCCTGTTTTCTTTTTAGTAAATTGTCATGAAAATTTGGTGGGACATTTTTTTATGGATTATGTCGTATTTAGCTTACAATTGTTATTGTGATTATAAAACAATATTTGATTTTATTGTAAGGCGATAAGTTTTTAAAGTCCATAACTTTGGCGCAACAAATTATTTGTAAAACATTATATTTGTATGAATAATATATATATATAAATATTCAAAATTAAGTAAGGTTTTTAAGAACTCTTCAAAATCTTTAAGTTATTATGATTTTGCTATGGGTTGATTTGAGTCAAACATTTGATGTCTTAAATTTTGCAACAAATCGAATTTATAGAAAAATAAAAGGTTTGCAACATTGCAGGATGCAAAGATATGAGATTATAAAATTAATTATCAGTTTCTTTATGTGCTATCCGGTACCTAGGTTTCCTGTACATGTAACAGGTTCACACAAGTCCTGACAGAACTGTACAGTTGCAACAAAGTTAACAGTTGGGGTAGAAGGAAATCTGAACGCCTGGAAAATATTTATTTTAATTTTTGTATGTTTTCAGATATTTAAATTTTGCACGTTTTCAGTTATTTATATTTGTACGTTTGCAGGTATTTAAATTTTGTACGTTTTCAGATATTTAAATTTTGTTGGCTTTCAACACGGCAATTTTGGGTTGTTTAAGTTTTCATTTCTCAGATCTTTTGAATGATGTTATTTAAAAACAATATTTTTCAGAAAAAAATTAGTTTCCATGTTTATGCAAGTCTGAAAGGAACTGCAGACATAATTTGTATCTAGGACTGGCGTCGTTCCTGGGAAACGATCGTTCTTTCACAAGAACGAACGGAACGATCAAGAATGATCCCATAGTTCCGAAAAAAGAACGAACGCATAGAACGCGTTCTTAAAAATGTTGGAACGATTTGTAAAGGAACAGAACGGAACAGAAAGGAAATTTGTGAAAAGAACGCGTTCTTATTATTAATATCCTCCATTTACAGAGTGACTTGTTCTATTAACAATGGTACCCTTAACATTTTTGCTGATTATGAATGCATAATATATCCATGATGTATATATTTTTTAAATTATTAATTGCGTTTTCTTCAATACAACTTAACAAGAGACGTACAGTTGTGATGATGGCATATCACTCTGTAAACGGAAAGTTCACTTGAAATGACCGTCCCTTAAACTCCGTTAAGATTACCCCCAAGCATTAAACAATGCATATTCAGGCAGCCTCGCTATTGCAACATTTCCATGACAAATATTTACCTTAAAATTTGCGAAGAGTGCTCTCGTCTTCGACTCTAGGGCCAGAGCAGGATAAATAAGTTCATTGAGGGGACAGCCCTGACCATCGATTAGATTTAATAGTTCTCCATTGTCCGTCCTAGCCTCAAGGTTTCTAAATATAGATGATACAGTGGGACTCCTAAAACTGATCTTTTTATAACATTTTTTAGCAACTTTTTTTTATAAAACATTGTTCTTTCAACCCCAGGGTTCCACATTTTGAGAAAACTTATTTGGTTTCAACTTATTATCTTAAACCGCTGAAATAGGATGCAGGATACCCTGTTAAAAAAACAAAAGGTCAAAGGTCGTCTTCAACAAGTTTTTTACGCACTACGCGGCAAGTGAGCCCGTGTAAAGTTTACCTGGCAAACAGTCCGAAAGCAGAATCTTCATCAATCTCTATCCTTAATTGAAGATCCTCTCCCAGCCCAACAACATCTAGAAGTAGACAAATGGATGAATGAATAAGTAGTCAAATAGATAAGAAAATAAATAGATAAAGAAATAAGTAGTTAAATAGATAAATAAATAAATAGATACATAGATATATATGCTTTCTGTACAAAATCTACTTTACTGTAACTGCTTCCTATAGAATATCTACTGTACTGCACCTGTACATGCTTCCTGCACAATATCTACTGGACTATACCTGCTTCCTATACAATATTACTGTACTGTACATGCTTCCTGTACAATATCTACTGTACTATACCTGCTTCCTGTACAATATTACTGTACTGTACATGCTTCCTGTACAATATCTACTTTACTGTACCTGCTGTGCTTCCTGTACGCCGAACTACCCTCATCCTGACTCCAGGAGTTGGAGCTGTATTCGTCACTATATTCGTTCCAGTCGGCTGGAAAGGAACTCTAAAATAAAAAGACGATTTTTAACAAAAGACGATTTTTAATAGAAAGACGATTTTTAATAAAAAGACAACTTTTAATAAAAAAAAGATTTTTAATAAAAAGACGATTTAAAAAAGCGTAAATTTAATGCTTTTCAAGATTCACGTTTGAAAGTAATAATACTTTTATTTTTAAATATGAATAATTGATAAATTACTCACGTGACTGAAATACCGCCGCCATCATCTCTACCGCCGGCGGTTGGTCTGAAACTTACGGTCTGATCTTCGGCGGTAAAAGCGCACTCTACGCGGACTGTTTTATCAGTGTCCTGAATATTCATGATTATTATTATTATTATTGTTATTATTTTTATTATTATTGTCATTATTACTATTTTTTTGTCCTCATTATTATAATTACTGTTAGTATCATTATTATAATTACTATCATTATTTTTATTATTACCTGCATGATAATTGGATTTGCTTGAATGACAACATGATTGACATACCGTCCTCGACCCTAAACAATTTTCAAAATAAAAAAGTTTTTTATCGAATTTTAAATTTTAAATTTTGTAAAATATTTATATACCGATTGCACAGTTCCACACTGGGATCCAATGGGAATCCTCAGAGACATCTCGGACTGACCGCTACCAAGCTCAAAGCAGGCCTGACACAGAAAACAAATTACTAAGGAAATTAGTGTTTCCCACAAGTTTTTATCCCTATTTCTTTGCAACCCGATTTGGTAGACCTTTGATATGCCAAACTATATATTCTGTTAGATTAAATAGTCTAAATCTGGAATATCAAAGGTTTGCAATATCAAGTTGCAAAGAAATAGGGATTACAAAATTTGAGTTTGTGGCAAAAACTCAGTTACTTTATTAAAGATTGTTTTTTTAAGAACTCAATACTCGCCTTTATCTCTAATATCTTCGCATCCTGATTGTTTAAACTTATGATTATTCAAACTTTGACTGCTTGATCTAAGCAGAATTCATAGTTTGAACGACATCAAGTTGCAAACAAAGAAATCAGGATTTAAAAATCTGAAAAAATCTGATAATTAGATTAATTAGTTTACCTGCGGATTTCCGGTGGCATAAATTCGGCCATTGAACTCCTAAATTAAAAACAAAATAATTAAATAAATCATTAATATTTCTATTTACAAAATAAAACAGGCAAAGAATATGAACTTATTGTAATCCTCACGTTTATGGCTAAACCTTTGCTGTAATCTTAGATATGCCATGCTGCCATTGGTGGAATTAAGACTTAAAGGGAGTGACCGGCAATGTATGGTAATTGAACTGAGAACGTAGTATTGTGAAGAAATTTTGCAGGATTCATTTGAGACATATCGCTTTAATGATGTATAATTACTAAGTTTCAGCGCAAAGTCGACGTTCAAAATCATTTATTTGGGTGTTTACATTATGAGAATCAATTTTTTTTTAATCGATTCTCAAAGCCTATACACCCAAATTGATGATTTTGAACGTCGACTTTGCGCTCAAACTCAGTAATTATGCATCATTAAAACGCGTTATATGTCTCAAATGAATCTAAAAAATGTCTCCACAATACTATATATTCTCAGTTCAATTACCATACATTGCCGGTCACTCCCTTTAAAGAGACTGTTAGGTTAATTTTAAGAGACCCTCCGTATATGTAAAGAGGGCAATGCCAGATTTACAACAGTACTTATTACAACGCCGTGGCCTGCTAAACCTCACTTAATCAATTAGACTTTTTTTGTAGCCCTAGACATAAATGTTTTTAAAATTGCACTTTATTCAAGTTTATAAGGGGTAATTGACAAAATACTGCTCAGGAGAGCGTGAAAATTTTGGTTTACATTGTATTTTATTAAATTATTATTGTATCTGTACGATGCAAAAAATTCTTAAAAAGTTGTTGATGAATTCTTCCTATATATATAAATATAAGAAGAATTCATCAACAACTTTTTTAGATTTATATATTATATATATGTATAATCTAAAAGATACATTTTATGTAAAATATATAATATATATTATTTATATTAGCTGACAATGCAATCACAAAGTTTTCTCAAACTTCATATTTCTTTTAAACCTAATCTTTTTCAATACAAGATTAAATACAGAACTGACGGGGGACATGATGAACAAAAATAAAGGAACAGTTGAAGTGTTTCCTTATTTATAGAATGGCATGACCAATTCACAACAGTACCTATGAAAACCTGTCTATTATATTCTTATTTTTCTGTCTGAAAATTGATAATATAATATTGATAACTCCAAACTACCTGTCCAAATGAAAGAGTGACAAGCATATCTGATGGAGTGCATTCAACCCTAACTAAAAATACAAATGATTAAAGGTTAATGAGCTAATAAAATTAAATTCATTCTTATGTATAAAGAATCTATGTTGCTATATTAGAAATCTCTATTAGTCTGTGGTTTTTACGTACAAGGGAACAACGGGAATGTTTTAGCTTGGTTTAATCGTTGATTTACTTGAATAGGAAAGCTGGGTTCCGAGTACAAAAGAAATTTTAAAAAATTAAATATTTTTATGAAAAAAGAAAACTTGTAATGAAGAAATAGAATGAACCTTACCAACAAAGCTATATTATGCCTTGATGGCATCTATTTTATAAAAATGAAGTGAAAATAATTTTAAAACCCTCTTTTGAATCTATTCTTACAAAACAAAGAAAAATATTGTGAACTTTTGTTTTTTTCTGTCTAAACTAATGTCAATGTGCAGTGGTGAGAAAAATATTCATTTTGAAGTTTTTCGTTTAAAGTAAAATATATTTTTGAAATTTAAATGAATTTTTGGAATAAAACATATTTCTCGAGAAATTTTCCTCCTACAGGATTTATTTAAGTGTATAAAGTATTACTATTATTATTGATCTTATTATCATTATTATTATTATCATCATTTTTATTGTGATTATAATTATAGGAAACCGATTGATTGGATTTTTATTATAATAATTATTTTTGTTATCATTTCATTATTATTATAAACCTACCATTATTACAACCAGCCCTTTCTGAGAATGTAAAGTCTCTGTCCTGCTGAAGTCCAGTTGGCAGGGAGATAGAATCATCTAGATAAATCAATCAATCAATCATTCGATCAATCAAACATTCAGTCAATGACTAGATGATAACTACAGCATTAAATCAATAAATCAATCAATTTCTTAGTCAATTACCCAATGAGTCGACCAACCAGTAAAAAAATCAACCAGCTCATCAGCAAATCGATCAATTTTTAAAATCATTCAATCAATTCATCAACTAATAAATTAACTAATTAATCAACTATTTAATCAATAAATTCAACCGACAATTCGATAATACTCAAATTGAACATGATCAGACCTAGCAATCAAATAGCAACTTTTGTCCGTAAATCAAATAGCATCGGATGAAATTAAATACAAGTCATCTGCTAAATTTTAATTTTAAAGGGAGTGACCGGCTATGTAAGGTAGTTGAGCTGAGTATGCAGTGTTGTGGAAAACTTCTTTCGGATTCATTTGAGACATATCAAACTTTTTAAAGATATGTAAATCCTGAGTTTGAGCGCAAATTCGACGTTCAAAACTCCTACTTTGGGGGGTGGATACGTTTTCAGAATTAGTTAATTTGAATGATTAAATTGGGTAATTGAAAGTTTTCCACAGCACTGCATACTCAGTTCCACAGTAAAATGTTTAACATGTGTTTAATCATGATACCCCTTTTTACTTTGAAAATTAGCGTAATTTGTTAAATTAGCATGTTTTTGTTGTTGTTATATTTTGTACCTGCAGATAAGAAGCATTCCTGTCTGGCTGAATTGTAGTTAAAAGATCTAGAAGATAAATACAAATAAAAACAAATATACGTGACTATGTATCTAAACCAAAAATTAAATGTTAGATATCAGTAAAAAGTAAAATCAATTAATTTCTGATGACCTCGCATATATAGACTGATTCCCGCGGTATCTTTAAAATTTTTGCCTGATAAGGTTTACATTAGATATCCATGTTTATAATTTAAAAAAAAAATGCTTATTTTCATGCTATTGCCTATTATAATATCAAAGTTTAGATTGTTTTTTTTAATGTCAATTCTACCCTCTTACTAGAATTATTATTTTCTTATCAATAAACAATGTGAGTAAATTAGCGCCGTTATCTTTGGATAAATCAAAAAGTTTTCAACATTTCAAATTAGTTCTTTTTAACGATACGGACATACCAATGTCCAGTTAAACTTCAAAACTTCTATTTCAAGTTTGTTGATGACAACCTTATTGGGTATTTTTAGAAACCGAATTCTAAATTTAGATTTTAAAAGTGTACAAAAAACTGGTTTAAAAACTTTCTTTTTAAATCTTAGATTTCATCAATTCCTTTCTATTAATGTACATATAATTAAAACCAGACATTAAACGTGTCTAGAAATATATTTTCTAATTCGGTTTTGTAATTTTTTTTGTTGATTTTAATCTGCCTGCAACATAAACAAATGTTTAATTGTAAGCAAAAACTATATTCCACTTTTCAATCCAAATCAAATCAAATCAAATAATATATTTATTTACATAAACGTTTTTATTTCAATTAGCACAAGTATTATAATTACTGCAGATTGAAGATGCTTTATTACTTGCAAATTGGTAATGATGGGGTTGGTTTCTATTGCTATGACCATATTGTAAATTTTCATGGATGTTCAGAGCTCATTTCTCGACCAGTAGCGTCTCCAGGCTAGATCATCTTTTTGTATCTTTCCTTTTCGTTCAAAGGCAATTTGAGAGAAGCTCTTGAAGTTTCTGTTACAGGCTGTCTGTGGAGAATCTTGAACGGACGGTAAGGGAAATTTACGTAGGGAGTCACGGATGAATCTGAAACTCATGTCGTCTTGTGGAACGTTGAACAGTGTTCGGTGAAAACTATTTTTCCGAACGTATTGCAGGTGGAAAAAATGTTCTAAAGAAATCTCCAGACTGCTGCACAAAAGATAAAAATCGTCTGTTCTTTCCTTTGACGATTTTAGTAGATTAGAAATGACTTTGTTCTCATGTTCAAATGAAGCCTCCAAGTCTAATGGGAATGATCTTGTCTTAATAAAATTGGCTTTTCTCGTTTCTTGTCTTGTAATCGATACATCTTTCCAGTCTATGAAATTTGCAATATCGTTTTTCTTGAAGTTTCTTTTCTTCCAGATTCTGGAAGCTTCTGCTTGAGCGGAGATGTTTAGAGATGGCGGGAAAGGGTGTGAAGGAACTGAAGAGTACGAGTGCAAAACGTGAATATATTCTTGTGGAGTTTCAGGAAACTTTCGGAGATTTTCCGAATACTGGCCTGGGTGTTTTACAGATTCATTTTCGTTAAATATCCAGTTATTTGATCCTGGCTTCATGTTAGTTTTTTTTGAGTTTTTATCTCCACTCTTCTCTGTCTTGTCTTATTATCAACTGAATACTGAAAAGACGCAAGGAACAATGGTTTGGGTGGGTTATTCTTATACCTTCACGGCTCCTTGATTCTTCAAACACTTTATTGTATTCATACTTAGACTTATTCTAGATTCTAGATGTGTACAGACAGACAAATCTTTGGATAAAGAATAAGGGGAAGGTTGTAGGGTTTGCTAATATTTTTTGATCCAATTTACAGTCATATATAATCTCGCATTCAAAATACGTAAAAAAAAACATTTCAGCTGAATATCTAAATTGCAAAGTCCCAAAAAAGTGTAATATTACAAGAACGAAAAATCAACATTTAATGGCTAAGAAACGGGGTTTTAAAGTTCAGCCTCTATAATGGACTTTTCACCATGACTTTTAGTCTATCTTGCACTTGTCAGAACTAGAAAAGATTTTTTTCGTTGTAAAAGAAACTGTAGAAAATTCGACAATCGTTTAAAACTGATTTTTAATACTCAAAGTTCTGTGGTCTAGAAAACTGGAAAAAATAATTGCTGTTTAAATATTGGATTTTTAATTGAAAAAGTTGTAAAACTTGAACAAAGAAAGAAAGAATTCAAGCATTACTTTTAACACTAATGCTATATGATGCCCATAAAGAAATTGAGTCTTTGTAACAAACTCTGATTTTTTAATACCTATATTTTTTCCACTTGATGGTGTAAACCTTTGATATTTCCAACTTGGATTTTTTCATCTAACAGAATTCATAGTTTGAAATATCTAAGGTCTACGGCATTGGATTACAAAGATATAGAGATTAGAAAATCATAGTTTGTGAGAAAAACTCAATTTCTTTTCTCGCTATTAAGAACCTGCGAAGCACAGAGAAAATTTATAGTTTCCGACAAAACAGGAATCTTAAGAGAATTTATTCTACCATATCTTAGCACAAGAAATCCTTTGCAACGGTTATAAGGAAGTTCAGCATACAATGATAAAGTGCACATTGATTTTATTTCATGATATGTTCGACCGACCTGCAGTTGTAGTTGGACTGAGAATTACATTCTGTCCGACATCCTTCTATATCCTCTACATCCGGTACATAGGTATCCGTGAAGGGGAGGTAGGTTCCGGGCTGGTCTATATACTCACAGTTCGCAGGTACTAGATATATGGATAGATAGATAAATAAATAACTTGATATATATATAATATAACTTACATTCTGAGCATTCATTCTCTAAATAATCAATCCCTCTAATGGCAGGTCTGTGCATCATTCAAGTCAATTTAAATTATATTTTTATCTATGTTTGTTAAAATTAAAGTTTTAAAAAATTAATTTTTATTTCAAGAATTCTACAATAAAAAACTAATAAGGAGGATAACTCATATCAGAGATTATTTCGTCTTCTGCTCTGAATTATGTAATCAAGTTCTGTCGATTTAAAAGTTACAATCTCAGTTCAAGTTAGTTTAAGTTAGTTCTTTCTATTTAAAAGTCATTGTCTCAAATTCTATATTTTAAAGTTAATTTTGTCTTTTCAACAGTTATAATCTTCACTTTAAATTATTTAAAGTTAGTTTTGTTTATTCAAAAGTTATAATCTCAACTAGAAATTCAAGGCGCTTCGCGCCCTTCTTTCTAGCCTTAGAGGGCGCTTCGCGCCCATCTCCTAAATTAATTGTGAACATGTTCTCTTTGTGTACATCGTAAAACAAAACAAAAATAATTCGCGGATTTTCACAAAAAATTTCGCGGATTTTCAAAATTTTAAAAAATTTAATGACGATCGAATTTTGATGGAGACAAATATTTGAAATTTTGATGATTCATAAACCTTCCCTGGGGTCCCTAGATGTCCCACAAAAAATTTGGGCCCGATCGGTTCAGCCGTTTTGACGTTTATTGGATACAAACAAACAAACAAACAAACAGACAAACAGACAAACAGACAAGCCAAATTTATATATAGATTATGAGCTAGTAAACGTAAGTTTGTCTAAATTCAAATGTTATCATTTCAATCCTGTTATTAAGATTTAGTTTTGTTTATTCAAAGGTTATTGTCTCATTTCTGATATTCCAAGTTAACTCCCTTTTTTAAAAGTTATCCTCAAATGTTTTTTTTAAGTTAGTTCTGTCATTTTAAAATTTATTATCTTAATTCTGAGTTAGTCAAAGTAGGTTCGTCTATATTCAAAAGTTATACTCTCATTTATGTTAATCAAAGTAAGCTCTGCCTTTTCGAAAGTTATCATCTAAATTCAATTAAAGTTAGTGCTGTCTGTTCTAAAGTTTTTGTCTCAATTCTATATATTTAAAAAGTTATTTCTGTCAATTCAAAAGTTATAATCTTAATTTTATATCAATCAAAGTTCGTTCTGTCTATTCAAAACTTACAATCTTCACATGGTTATGTCTGTCTATTCAAAAGTTATCATCTCAATTCAAGTTAGTTTGAGATAGTTGTGTCTATTCAAAAGTTACCAACTCTATTGTATGTTAGATAAAGTTCTGAATGGACTTTGTTCCTAAAACTTGTTGGTTGAGTTCTTCTTGATTCCTCAGACAGTTTACAAATCCTTGCTCCAGAGTTATAAGTGGCAGACCTTATTAATTAATTAATTAATTAATTAATTTATTAATAAATTAATTAATAGATAAAGCACATTCATTAAAACAATGAAGACAGTTGTTAAAACTAAAGTTGGATGCATGGTTCGATGATTTAAAAGAACAAAAAAAAGAAGTAAACAAAAAGAAAATATTTTTTTGAAATAAAATTACAGTTAACGGATTAAAATTATACTAGGCTTTCAGGACGATTAACGTTCATTTCAAAGTAACAAAGAATAAAAGGATGAACGAATGAAAGGACGAAAGGATGAACGAAAGGATGAAAGAATGAAAAGACGGCTTGATAAAAATGACGACAAGAAAAGAGGATAAAAAGGAAAGGATAGGAAATGAAAGGATAGGAAATGAAAGGACAACAAGAAGAAAGGATAAAGAAAGAAAGAATAGGAGATGAAAGGCCGACAAGAAGAAAGGATAAAAGAAGAAAGGCCGACAAGAAGAAATGATAAAAGAAGAAAGGCCGACAAGAAGAAAGGATAAAAAAAGAAAGGACGAAAAGAAGAAAGACGACAAGAAGAAAGGACGACAAGAAGAAAGACGACAAGAAGAAAGACGACAAGAAGAAAGGAAGACAAGAAGAAAGGACGACAAGAAGAAAGGATAGGAGATTAAAAGAAGAATGAATGAAAAAACGAAATGATGCATGTACAACAGGATAAAAATGGCGGCAGAATGAAAGAACGAAATGATGAAAGATGATAATGTGATGTGATGAATGATGTGATGTGATGAATAAAAACTTAAAAGATGAAAATTGACCTGCAAGGAAAACTTCTTGCATTAAGGCAAAGTTCTCTGCAAGCACTCAGGCTTCTTACATTATCAACCTAATATCAGATTTCTGTTAGAATAAATAAGTTGAGAGTTTAATTTTTTAAAAATCCGTTGTTCCCATAATAAACTTCTGTGTAATCTATCTTTCCAACACAGTTTGCACCATTCTAGCATTCTAGCATTCTAGCATTCAAACTAACCTTTCTATCCCACTGTGCATTCAAACTAACCTTTCTATCCCACTGTGCATTAAAACTAACCTGCTGTGTATAAACAAAAAAACTCTCTTTAACACTGTGCATGAAAACTAACCTCTCTATTCCACTGTGCAAAGAAACTAACCTCTCTATCCCTATTTGCATAGAAAACAAACCTCTCTTTCCCACTGTGCATGAAAACTACCTCTCTATTCCACTGTGCATATAAATTAACCTCTCTATTCCACTGTGCATATAAATTAACCTCTCTATTCCACTGTGCATATAAATTAACCTCTCTATACCACTGTGCATATAAACTAACCTCTCTATTCCACTGTGCATATAAATTAACCTCTCTATCCCATTCTGCAAAACAACTAACCACTCTATCTCACTGTGCATATAAACTAACCACTCTATCTCACTGTGCATATAAACTAACCACTCTATCTCACTGTGCATATAAACTAACCTCTCTATTCCACTGTGCATATAAATTAACCTCTCTATTCCACTGTGCATATAAACTAACCTCTCTATTCCACTGTGCATATAAATTAACCTCTCTATCCCATTCTGCAAAACAACTAACCACTCTATCTCACTGTGCATATAAACTAACCACTCTATCTCACTGTGCTTATAAACTAACCTCTCTATTCCACTGTGCATACAAATTAACCTCTCTATTCCACTGTGTATATAAATTAACCTCTCTATTCCACTGTGCATATAAATTAACCTCTCTATTCCACTGTGCATACAAATTAACCTCTCTATTCCACTGTGCATATAAACTAACCACTCTATCTCACTGTGCATATAAACTAACCACTCTATCTCACTGTGCATATAAACTAATTAGTCTATCCCACTGTGGATATAAACTAACCTATCTCACTGTGCATATAAACTAACCACTCTATCTCACTGTGCATATAAACTAATTAGTCTATCCCACTGTGGATATAAACTAACCACTCTATCCCACTGTGCATATAAACTAACCACTCTATCCCACTGTGGATATAAACTAACCTCTCTATTTCACTGTGCATATAAACTAACCACTCTATCTCACTGTGCACTCAAACTAACCACTCTATCCCACTGTGCATATAAACTAACCATTCTATCCCACTGTGCATATAAACTAACCACTGTCCATGGAAACTTACCTCTTCAGTTGGAACTCCAACGAATTCGTACATTGGAACTCTTGTAAAACTCCAAGATTTCCCACAACTTTTACCTTTAAATAAATGTTGTGTTGAATAGAATTTATAATAGTTTGTAATACTCATTGGATAACGGAAAGATATCTTGTTTAAGAATAATTGTTTAGCGGAAAGATATCTTGTTTAAGAACAATTGTCTAGCGGAAAGATATCTTTCTTAAGAACAATTGTTTAGCGGAAAGATATCTTGTTTAAGAACAATTGTTTAGCGGAAAGATATCTTGTTTGAGAACAATTGTCTAGCAGAAAGATATCTTGCTTGAGAATTATTGTTTAGTGGAAAGATATCTTGTTTAAGAATAATTGTCTAGTGGAAAGATATCTTGTTTAAGAAGAATTGTCTAGTGGAAAAATATCTTGTTTAAGAAGAATTGTCTAGCGGAAAGATATCTTGTTTAAGAACAATTGTCTAGCTGAAATATATCTTGTTTATAAAGAATTGTCTAGCGGAAAGATATCTTGTTTAAGAACAAATATCTAGCGGAGAGATATCTTGTTTAAAATCATTAATAACAACCATGATTGTATCTTTAAAACCTACTCGCTGGAACAAACCAAAAAGCATCGCTGTGATAGGGAGTGTTCGAAATTTACTTTTTAAAATTAGGGATGTTCAAAGATTTAATTGATGAATAAACAAGATTTTTTTTATAACGTTATTTACAAATTCAGAAATCAAACATGATTAGGGTTTAATGTAAAAATTTCACTTGCTAATTAAGCAGATACAGCTGCCAAATAAATTCCGGTTTTGATAACAGTATTTTAGCATACCACGTTACAGAAAAACAAAAAATAGTTACAAATTTTTACTAGTTTTACACCAATGATAAAATTTCAAAAGGCAGAGTTGCTCTCAAAACAGGACACTGTAATGACGACATAAAACTCTTCAACCACCACATTTTGAAGAGTCAAAATTAGTAGACATTAATTGAGACATTATTGAATTTAAAGACCATGGTCGGCGTTTATATCAGTACAATGAAGACGAATTTTCCATTGAAGTTTTGATTTCTTACAAGCTTTTTTAACAATTTATCAAGTTTTGTGTATTCAAGGTTTTTGAAAGCTTGGAAGAAATCAAAATTGAAATCGAAGGTCGTCCTCAATGTATTCAAATCAGTGGCGTAAATAAAAGGGGTTATTGGGGTTATTTACCTCCCTTAGAATCTTGGGGGTAATTACCCCCCCCCCTAGAATCCTGGGGGTAATTACCCCCCCCCCTAGAATTTAAAAATTTGATTTTAAAATTGAATATCTTTTAAATTTGCACGAAAATAATTTAAATGTGCAGATACTTCAGATATTTCAGATTTTAAGTCAACATATTCTGAATGATTCTAAATTTTAAAATAATAGTCAATGTCATTAAAAAAAGTTTATGGGCAATGAAAAATACATTTTTACTTCTAAATAATGTCAATTCCATATTAGATTTATTTAAGATCTTAACATACTACATTGACGACAAGAAAATTTTGGAAATTAGAAATACGAATATAAACAAAGACAATTTTTTTTCAAAGTTTTGCAGAGTAGCTTTTCTAGAGATTTAAAAAAGTAACATCTTTTTCTTCTTAAAGTAAAACTATTATTTTTTATCTCACTTAGAATTTAAATTCAGTTTTTTTACAGATCTTTGTAGTTATTGTAAAATGAATGACTATAATGAAGAATATAAAAAAGGGGAAAGCTGAGAATATCTCTAAAGTTTTCTATTTTTGCGGAAACCCCTTAAAAAAACTTTTAAAGTTCTTACTTGCGCAGATCTTTTCAAAATATGTAACACCAGTAGCACTAGAAGGTGCTGTTCCCTCAACTCCTGAAAATCAAGTCAATTTCAAAATTCCATTTGTAGATCAGTGGTCCCCATAAAACTATGGAGTACAACGACGATTTTTTTGGCAAAAAATATGATTTTAATTGGTCCCATGAACATGAGGAACATCAAGTTTACATTGTACACGGACTGAAATCTATATTATTTGTAAAACAAAATAAAATTCACTTAGAGATTGCTTTAAAGTCTTCTTTCTATTCCGGTTTTATAGGGATCAATGCATCTTTAGCTGCTGATGAAAAGAGAGCAAATAAGCGCTGCCGCCCCACCCCCTCAACTGTGCGGGCTGATGAATCCAGAGAAAATAAGCGCTGCCATTCCCCCCTCAACTGTACCTGCTGATGAATCCAGAGCAAAGCATCGCTGCCGTCCACCCCTCTCATTCTGTAGCGTAACAGCCAGACACCTTCCACCATTCGGAAATCAATTTAAAGCAACAAATAGTATTTTTGAAAGTGTTCACTCAACCAAAACCAGCGGGATATAAACTGGGTTTAGGAAACGGTTAATAATATCTTTACGACAATCTAGAAAAACTACTTGTGATAATGAAATCACGTTTACAAGACACACTCTGATTAACAGAAATATATAGTTCTTTCGCTGTGGTTTGTTTTATTTTTGTATTTATTGCACGAATTTATTATTTTTATCAAAAATTATTTACAACATTTTGCAAAAGACTAAAATTTTCTAAATCCTACATCTTTTGCAATTTTTTTATAGCTTAAACTTAGATCATTTGATCCGACAGAATCAATAGTTGGAAATATCAAAGGTCTATACGTCATTTGGTTATAAAGCTATAGGGGTTATAAAATCAAAGTACGTGGCCAAGGCTTAATTTTTTCATGGTGTAATTTTGTCTTTCAGAATTTAAAAGTGTCTTTATACTCAAACTGTGTTTTGAGAAATGAAAGGGGTTTTTGTCCAAATAATTTAAACGGAATTTAAAAGAATTGTTTCCACATGCGTAAACTGGAATGTTTTTTTTATTTAGTAAATATAAACGTGAACTAATTCTTATAATGAATAAATTAGTAAGCAACCCCTAAATTATTTATGTATCATAGTCTAAGTTAATAAAAAAATATTTAAATCTTAAAAGTTCATTATAGTTTTAAGTTTATGAAATAAGAAACTATTTGTTTCTCTAAACAGTTGAATTGATATTGGCCATTTTTTTTCTCGTCTGTAGATTGTAAAAATTGAATTGATTTTTAATATTTGAATTGATTTCTACTCTTTCACTTGATTTTTAAATCTGTAAATTGATTTTTAAATCTTTGAATTGATTTTTAAATCTTTGAATTGATATTTAACATTTAAATTGATTTATAATATTTGAATTGATTTTAAAGTTTTGAATAGATTTTTTAAAATCTTTAAATTGATTTTTAATCTTTGAATTGATTTTTAATATTTAAATTGATTTCTACTATTAGACTTGAATTTTAATCTTTGAATTGATTTTTAAATCTTTGAATTGATTTAAAATGTTTTATTGATTTCACTTTCCTGTCTCCCATATCTGTGCACTCTTCTATACACTCAGCTGCGATTCCAATATCTAAAAAATCAGATATAAAAACAAAGAGCTCACAACGGAGGAAACATTGTGCACAGTGAGTCAAATCCTGAAAATTGTCAGAGGCTGAGATTCTTCGTCCAAATCCCTTAGTCTCAATTCTAAAATTTAAAGTTAGACCAAAGCAACAAATATATAGACCAGGAACGCCCAACTGAGATATACGCAAATTGTGTACTGTACACTGTGGGAGGAATGTAAACAAACCCAGTGCCCCCACAGCAGTTGAAGAGAAAGGATTAAACGCTGATAAACAGAATGATGTTACAATTAAAAACAAAAGAAACTAGTTAATATATTAAGTTAGTGCGGATACAAATTATTTATTTAAATATGATTTCTGGGTTTTAGATCAATATGGAAAATTTATTCATGCTCAGTGAGATTTGTTCAACTATAAAGGAGAAGCAAGGTAAAAAGATTCCCACTTATCCTTGTTTCCGAGGTTTAACTTTCTTTTAAAATTTAAAACCTTTCATCTCAATGTTTAAATCCTTCCTCCCAAGGTATAAATGATGTTTTGCCCCTGAATTCTTTGTTTTGATCGCCTCCCACTGCAATACACAAATTTGACGCATTAGATATGGCGGTTCCTGGTCTATATATTTCTTGGACCAAAGGTTGTATATTATGGTTAGATACTCTGAATGCGCTTCAATGTACTAGAAATGTCGTCTTCATAGCAATGGACACTAAAAATCCTCTTATGTTATTTTCTCCGCTTTTAACAGCTTACAAACGCAGAAAATCCCTATCCAATCTCACTAACAACCTTACTACTTCATCTTTTCATCAATATTCATTAATCAGTTAAGTCATATGAGGAGTTTTAGTGTCCATTGCTATGAAGACAACTTTTCTAATAACGAATACATTGAAAGAATTTATAAAATGTCGTCTTGACAATTTTTCAATGAGTTTTATACAATATTTCGTGAATTTCAGTATTTGCGAAAATAAATAAATAGCGGGAACAGTTTCAAAGAGTTTCATATAATCATTTAATTAAAAAACCAAATATCTGCAACATTCAATTATCAAAAGGTGAAAAATACGACATTTGATGAATTCTTTCGATGTATTCGTTATTAAGGGTTTCACTGTAGTATCTACATAGGAGCGCATAACTTTACCTTACAACCTTGGTTAGGTTAAACCCAACTTGATCAGTTTATTAATATCTCTAGACTCGAACCTTATTTTAGGCTCAATGGGATTGGAGTTAAGATTTTAAGCTAAGAATTATTTAAATGGTGGCCTTTAGATAAGATGTAAGTATTAAAGAAAGTTTGACATAAATAATGTGAATAGTAAAGGCCAAGAGAAATCACAATGAGTTAAAAGCATGAACCTGACGCATGAAACTGTACAGTGAGTCAGGTACAGGAAGTGACATGTCAAAAAAAGACCTGAACGCTTAGTTTTGAATAAAGAAGGTATCGTAAACTCACCAACTGTAGTTTGTATTTCCTCTCTGCTTCCTTCAGTAAATGTAAAATCAACTATTTTTTCATATGCTGACACCAAACCATCAGCCCTGAACATAGATAATTTAAAACAAAATTTAAACAAAATCAAAGTTAAAACTTAAGCAGATGGTATGTATGTTGAAAAAACCCTAAAGAAAACAAAGACGATATTGTAAAGAAAATACATAAATTATTGAAAAGAGTTAAAGAAATAATTAAATCATTGCCGAAGAAGGCAAACAATCCACCACCAATTAAATCAAAATTTAAAAATTAATCTTTCTTTCATAGAATTGGGGAGGGGGGAGGGGAGGGGGAGGGGGGAGTATATTCCCACAATCTTTATTTTTTAAGGATTTTAGATATTTCCTCCTCCGACACTTCAATTTTTTGTATTTCCTCCTCCGACACTTTAATTTTTTGTTATTTTTTTATGTTATTTTTATAAAGAAATAATTAGATAGTTTAATAGATAGAAGACAGGGAGGGGGGAGGGCAGAGCCAAGACATTTTATTTACATAATTTAGGAAAAGTAATTTAATGCAAGGGGGCCGGGGGGGGGGGATATTACAAACGGATATGGGGGAAATTGTAAAGAATACAAACGGATAAATTCTAAAGGCGGAAGGGGGAAATTATCAACAATTTTTCTTTAAAATTACGATATTTGTATTTTGAATAAAAATTATTTGAAATAAAATGATTAAATATTATTACTTGAGTGCGTTCATAGAACTAATTTTAAAGGTGTCCCAGAAATGTGAAATTGAGCGGAACTTTTTTGAAGTGTAATTCTTTAAACGATTTATTTATTCAAACAATTATGTTTCATCAATTTTTCACTTTTTTCGTGCTCTTTTTTGTATCTAATGTTTTTGGACACTTTGTGCAAAGTCCTAACTATAAACTATTAAAATCACGTAAAGAAAATAAATAATAAAACTATGTAATATTTCATGATTGAAGATATTAATAATTGGGAAAAAAGAGTCAAATTTACTTTGAAAATTATAAACATTTTGACATACAAATTAACAGAATACATTCATTTTCTTGCAGGATACAGTGGGTTCAATAAAACTCTGGAATAGGAAGACGTCTGTTAGACTCAAATATTGGAAACAAAACTAACTTAAATTAAAAGATTGATTTTCAAGCTTATTTATTTTTTTTTTTATAATGACATAAAAAGTAAAATATATTGCTAAAATGTCGCCTTTATATGTCATTGTCATGTCACAATATATCATGCTACATGGTTCAGATGATAAAAAATACTTTAATTCCAACCACGTCTATTATTTCAAAATTATGTTGTTTCTGCAATATCTAAACTGCAAAGTACGCGGAAATGACAATTTTTTTAATTTCTATTTTTCAGCAATTTCGCACTAGACCATATACCATTATGCTTCGTTACGCAATTTGTTATTTGCATGACTTTAAAATGACAATTATTTACATATTTTAAAAATGATTTGTAACCAAATCATTATCTAAAAATTATTACAATTTTAACAGAAAGAAACTGTCTCAGTTCTTGCTACAAATTCAGATTTTCTAACTCCAATATCTTTGCAACTTAACGATGTAGAACTTTGATTTTTAAAATTTTGATTATTATGATTAAAAAACAGATTTAAAGTTCGAAATATCTCTGTCTATGACCTTGGGTTGCAGAGATACAGGGATAATAGAAAGCCAGACTTTTAGCAAAGGCTCAATTTCTTTAATCTTTGTGTGAATACGAAATATATAATCTTGAAACTAAAAACAATTATATGAACCTTTTAATTGTTCAACTTGTAAAGAATTGTAACCATGCACGTGCACCATGTTTGGTAATCGTAGTCAGTATTTATGTCAATTGTCAACCATAAACTTTACTTAATAAAAATATCTAGATATAATTCTAAAAATAGATATTTACAAACCTGCAGTTGGCCGGGTTCCCTCCATCCCCAGAATATGATGGAAGGGTGTCATCAGGTAGAGTTTGTGGTAGAAGCTGGTTGCTAGGTCTCCCGCCACTACTGAAGCCAGGGCTGCTTAACCCGGAGCTACCGGAGCTGCTAAAACTATCTCCAGAGCTACTAAATCCAGAATCTGCAGGTCGGGGTTTTCTTCCGCATTCCTAAATTTGATAAATTTCAGAACAAATTTAAGAGCCGATAACTTTTATCGCATCTAAACCAAATAGCCTTAACTTAACCAATGAGAGAGGGAAGAAATTAGATTAAAAAGAAACACACGGGTTAGATTCATCCTGCCCTGCTAGGGAGGGGGGGGGGGCATTTTTAATAATGGACTTATTTACTCCTGACAGAGGGTTTAACTGATTTCTAAACGGACAGAAGGCTTTGACTATTAAAAGATTAGCTTAAACTAAATTGACCTTTTCCTGACACCAGTTAAAATCATTCAATTTATTCAAAAGTTTCCAATTAAGTTAACAATTTTGTATTGAAAAAAGAGAGAGAGAAATGTCTTACCTTTTCCGCATAGAGTGCTCCTGTTGCCAACTGGAAAGCATTACCTAAAAGTATAAAAGTCGGTCAACTTTTGTTCATACATTTTGTTCTTAGACAGCTGTCAAATATCAAACCCATCTTTAATTCGTCTCTGATCTGTCAAGTTTTGTGGGACACCATGTATACGAATTAATCAAACCTTCTGTGCACTTTTTGAAAACTGCCTTTAGACCACTAGCGGTAATATTCTGAACTGTCCCCTTGCGGTTATATTTGGAACTTACCCCAAGCGGTAATATTTGGAACTTACCCCCAGCGGATTTCTGAGTATCGCTGCTGAGCAAACACTGCGGATCTCCGCTACGAGTCTCACTCAGGAAAGAGTAGGACCGACAGTTAAAGTCTCGCTCCTGGGTACAGGACTGCTTGCAGGACGCTGAACTGAAGGAGGACAAGGATTTGTCTGTGTAGATGATATACTGGTCTCTAGTCTGAGGACTGTAGTCACAGTTACTTTGTCCTAAAAGAATAATTTAGAAATATGATAAAATCTTACACAATTTCTACTTGTGAGATTTAAGCTTGACTTTCGATCACCATTTGAACTATAAAACCAGACTTTTCAAACCAAACCAACACGTGATTGAAGTATTTCATTGAGGGTTTCGTCTAGGGTTTCTAGTGAAAAAGAAAAGACGTTTCTCGAAAATTTCGCATTTTTAGTGAAACAAATTTTTTTCGCGACCATTTCGCTTCATTTTCGCATTTCATTCGCTCGCGAAAATGTAAAAAATTTCCGCTTTATTCGCTTCATTTATTTTCGCAAAAAAATGCGAAATTTTGCGAAAAAGTTTGCAAAATGCGACAGAAAATAAATTTTCATACTTTTTCGCGAAACGTCTCTTTCGCTGGAAACCCTACCTGTAATTTCACGCAATTTCGAGCAATGGAATTTCGATTGGAATCCAATTGCAAAAATTTCTAAAATATTTCCTTACTTGATTGACATTGGTTTTCTAGATAATCAGATCCTTGCTTTGCTAGAAGAGAATCAGGCTGAGTAAACCTAGGATACAAATTGATTAGTTGATTGAACTAAAATCTAATAAGAAAATTGCGGCAAATGCACACCTGTCTTCTTCGCTGAGATAGCATTCTTTCCTCAAGTGATCATATGTTGCAGATCTGAGACAAAAAACATGTTTAATTGGATAGTTAATTAACAAAACTTAAGATAACTAATGGTTAAAAAGATTTTCAATTTTCAAAACTTTGAACATAAGTCATTTTAAAAGTTAAAGTTGTAGATAAAGCAAATAAACTACTATACCTGCAAATAAACCTGGACTCGCTGAGACATAAATCTTGGCACTCAGTTTTACTAATATCTCTATGCGTGTCACTAAAATAAACAGATTTTTGGGCGCTTTGTTCCTGTTTCAGATTTGATGAAAATTTAAAAAATAATCTCAAAAAACTTTTTTCGGGTTTTTTGATTTCAAGCTATACAAAAAAGTTCTAAGTTAATATTAAAATCATCAAAATGATTGAATTTAAAAAAAATAGTTTTGAAAAAAAAAATATATATTTTGGGAAAAAAAAAGTTTTTTGAAAAAAAAATATCGTATTACCGGACAAAACCTCGAAGTTCAAAGTCGATGTATCTCTCAAAAGTCCAAACAGCGCCGCACGTTCTTCCTGCAAATATAATATTCATTTATCAATACATACAGCTAGAGGTCTGTAAAGGGGTGGACACCCCCCCCCCCCTTCTAAATTAGTCCTAAAGTATGTTTAGATAACCCCATGCCGCCTTCCATTTCAACTCTGCAATAATAAATGATTTAATAATTTCATAATATTGAACTAATTATAGAGGAAAATCCCTAACTCTGCCAATACTGAAACCTTGAAGTTCTATGATAATAACAAATTTAGCAAACAAATAAATTTCTATATTTTTGTTCCCCGGAGTTAAACATCATTAATAGTAAATTTTGACACTTAATCATAAATGTATACATAATACAGATTGCTATTTTGAATTGATAGAAAAATACAAAGCTGTCACATTAAGACACATTTTTTTATAGAAAGATAGATATATAGAAAGATAAACAATAGATAGATAGATAGATAGATGAATAGATAGATGGATAGATAGATAGAAAGAAAGATGTCTAGATAGGTACGTAGATATAGATAGATACTAATGGATATTAATGCAAAAGTGATGATGATAGAAATATTGGCAGTTGACTTGATTGATCAGGATTCAGAGGATAATTATATATCAAAAATATTCAGGTTCAGTCAATAAACAACGAAGTTCATGAAAAACAATTCATATATATATATATATGTATATAGTGACCACTAAGATTATATATTGACCTTTATGAACGTATATTGACCTCTAAAACCAAGATTACTGACCTCTGAGGCAAATTGCCTCGAAGAATGCTATTCCTGTACTTGGTCTCAAGTTAAAAAGATTTCCCTCCGAGTTCTCTGTTACAGCTTGGCATTCGTTTCTGTTGTAGTCAAGGTTAAAGCCCTGACATCTGGAAGAAAAAATGGATCTTAAAGATGGTAAATTATTCTTACATAAAGAAACTGATTTTTTCTAATCTAATGTCTTTGGATTAAACCTCTGATATTTTAAAATTAGACTATTAGATCTAAACTAGTTCATAGCTAGTTTGAGAATTCAAAGGTCTAAGACATAAGGTTGTAAAGATATAGGGGTTAGAAAATCAGAGATTGTTGCAAAAACTAAAGGAAATGAGTATTTCCACAAACTCTGATTTTATAATTCCTATATCTTTGCAACCTGCTGGTGTAAACCTTTTATATTTCAAACTTAGATTATTTGATTTAACAGAATTCATTATAGTTTGAAATATCTAAGATCTACGACATTGGATTGCAAAGATTTTGGGATTAAAAAATCAGAGATTGTGGCAAAAACTAAATTTCTTTTGAACATGAAACTATCGAATTGATTTCTTGTAGCAGTAAATCCCAAAAATTAATATCTTCATTGTTGCATTTCGAATTTTACACTCCGATTAATCATATTTTGCCAGAAACAGGGTTTGAAAAACTTTCAAACCTTTCTCGGTGATCTCTGTTAAACTTGGGGTTATATACAAGCAGGGAGTATGGAATAGAAGGGAGATAACTGACGCGGTTCGCCCTACCATATGATTACATGCTTTGCAGACGGTACTTCACTATTTGAATAAGAAATATTTGTCATGATGTACATTTACTGCGTATATAATAACCTATTCTAAATATTTCTTATTCAAATGGAGTACCGTCTGCAAAGCATGTATAATCATATGGTAGGGCGAACCGCGTCGTTATATCTCTCTTCTATTCCTAACTCCCTGTCTGTATACAGGCTGTTTTTTAGTCTTTTTTAAACTTTAATAATAACTTTTTCATTTTTTGTGATATTTCAATTTTGAAAATACATACGGAAAGCTTATTATGAGAGATACTCAATTTCTGAAAGTCCAAGAAAAAAAATCAATAAATAACGCATCTTTTGGCCACTTAGTACAGATTTTAGTTCTCATATTTTTTTACTTTAATCCTTAGAAAATGTAGAAAAATTTAGAATGTTTTCCCGACAGCCTAGCCCTACTTTTGAAACGGGTACGCTGAAAATTTCAGCTCAATCACGCACCCCTGACTCATTAATAAAAGTAAATTCAACCTAAAGTCTGACCGCGTCAACCTTGTTGCACTGGCTAGATCCTATTGAGTGTAGCTTTATTTACCCAATGACCGGCCGATACAGTACAAACTGTGACCGGACAGGTTGACCCGGCTCGGAAATTCAAATGTACTACGGCTGCCCGTCCAATAGCTTTGTTTGGAGAAGGAGGGCGGACACTTTAAACATTTTTTGAAATAATCATCTAATTCTTTTTTTAATCTCCCATAATATGTTATTAATAAATGAAATCGTACGAATACATATTTCTTTTTTTCCTGTATGAGAAAAGATTGACAAGATTAAAAAAACACTCTGTATTTTGAAATTTTAGAGAAAAAAAACTTGAGATAGGGGGATGTTTCAGTTGGCCCCCTCCAATTAAAAATTTTCAGTTGCACCCTTTAATGATCAATAATTGTTTACCTAGAGTCTGACTGACATCTTGATGAACATTCAGCAGATATACCTCCCTCTCTTCTACTATACAGCTTATACGGTCTAGCCCTAAACATGAAAATTGGTATTTCTAAAAATATGTTATTTATGTCTAAAAGCTAGAATTACAAGAAATAGCGTGAGTCTACCAATGCACTTTAAAAAAAAATAATATTTTTATTTTTTAAAATATCAACAATGTCACTGAACCTTAATTACTATGCTTAATTAATCTGATTTTATTTAAATGATTCTCGATTTCGGATTAAATTTAAATGATCACATTTAATTTTTTTTTGAAAACTTCTGATTACTAAATTCAAAATTAAACAGGCCTGTGTTACGATCAGATTATCATCATATTATTAAAATCCACGAAACATAAAAAATACTTGTTTATAGGTTAATATTTTAAGAATTAATTAAATTTTCCTATTCTTTATTTGAATTAACATTTTATTTTACCTGATAAGTTCATAGCCAGTAGTCTTTTCAAATTCGAGTTTTCCAAAAGTACATCTACGTTCCTGAAATATTTTCCAAAAGTACATCTACGTTCCTGAAATATTTTCCAAAAGTACATCTACGTTCCTAAAATTGTTTTCCAAAAGTACATCTACGTTCCTAAAATGTTTTCCAAAAGTACATCTACGTTCCTAAAATTGTTTTCGTTTAAGTCATTAATGTGCCCGCGGAATTATTCTTTAGTCCACTTGTCATCTGCCCCCCCCCCCTCCTTCTCATAATTAAAAAAAATATTTGTTTTTCATTTTATCATAATGTAAAATGTGAGCGAATTTGTTTTGACAAACTGTTATTGGGAGAAAAATAAATGAATTTTACGGAAATCATCAAAAATAGGGGAAAACTAGATTTTTGTAGTTTTTCATTTAAATTTTAAAATTTTTTTGATTCAAAAGCTTCTGAAAACCTTTACCCTTGCTAGATAACCGAAAGGGGGGGGGGGTGCACTCTGCAAGATGTTACAGCCTTACAAAATGAGAGGAATGCATACCTGCGGCAATGTTTGGCTTGCTTGTTGAGTTGAACCGGTTTCAGGAATAAATTTGTTTGCTGAAGTCTAGTAACAAACAAATTTTATTACGATAACTTTGTAAACAAACATAAATAATTGGGATTCTCGACTTTCATTGACGAATTATTTAGGACAAGGAATCTTAGCTTGAATTCAAAAATTGTTATTATAATAAACTTTTGATGGGTTGATATAAAATTCGAACAGCTCCTTAGGTGTAAACCTATATATTTATATCATATTAGATTTACTTAAAATACTCTTATTCTAATTTTAAAAATTGTTAATTTATTATTATTATTATTAATGTAAGATGTTATATTAAATTAATCTAAGGCACTAGTAGGATTTCAGGGCGCTATGCCCCCATCTTCTATTGTGAACATTTTCTCTATGCATGCATTGTAAAACAAAGACAATGAAAGGAATTGAGTCTTTGCAACAAACTCTGATTTTCTAAACCCAATATCTTTGGATTCCAATGTCGTAGACCTTTGAAATTTCAAACTACGACTTCTGTTAGATCAAATAACATAAGTTTGAAATAACAAAGGTTTACGACATTGGGTTTCAAAGATATAGGGATTAGAAAAGCAGAGTTTGTGGCAAAGAATCAACTCCTTTGCGGCTTTAAAAAAATCGTGGATTTTTAAAATTTGATAAAAATCGAATTTAGTTGGAGGCTAATATTGAAATTTTGATCGTTAATAAATCTTCCCTGGGGTCAAAAATTTTGGTATATAAATATAGGTTTAGCAGTTATGACGTTTATCGGATACAAACAAACAAATAAACAAACAAGTAAACTTTATATACAGATAAAAGATATTCTGATATTGTTGTTATTGTGATAAAACAACTCGTAAGATATTTTACCCATGCATTAAATTCATTTTTGATAAATCTATGATTGCATTAGCACAATCTTACAAAATGTTAAATTACCTGAATTAATAGGACCAAACATTTTTTGTGGCATCTCAAAAGTCGATTCAAATTTTTGTGAAAACTAATGAATGCTTCCAGAAAAATCCGAAAAGTTTCTAGTTTTACAATGTGGAAGCAAATTACCAATGGTATATCTTGACAGCTGATCAAAATTTAACAGTTTTGCCACGAAAAAAAATTTGATAACATTTGTTTGGAGATCCATTTATGTAGAATGCTTACTGAAAAATCTGCGAAATTTTTAGTCTTACAATGAACAAAGAAAATTACCGGTTCTCCGAGAATATCTTGACAGTTCCTCTGAAAGAAATCTGTCCCGGGACGGGTTTGAAGAGCTCCATCTCCCGCACTCATCAAATCATCACCAGATATAAAACATTGGCTCGCTACAAATCATTTTATATATTCAAGACGGGGCTCACACTAGATCACCGATATATAAAATTAAGTCTTTGCCACAAACTCATAAAAGGAATTGAGGTTCTGCCACAAAATCTGATATTTTAATACCTATATCTGTGCAACACCATGTCGTAGACATTTGATTATTCAAACTATGCATTCTAAATTTTAAATATCAAAGGTTTACACTGTCAAGTTGCAAAGATATAGAGATTTTAACATTTTAGTTTGGGGCAAAAATTCAGCGTCTTTATTTATCTCTATATCTTTGCAATCTAATAGTGTTCAACTTTGATGTTTCAATCTTGATCTTACAGTATTCATTGTTTGAAATATCTAAGGTCTATGACATTGGGTTGCAAAAATAACGGGATTAGAAAATCAGAGTTTGTGGCAAATACTCTATTCTATTTTGTAAGAAAAGAAGGAACTAAAATGGGCTGTCAAGTCAATTTAATGAAATTACTACATTTATGAATATTAGAGTCACATATTCGATTCACAATTATAACTTAATGCTGGTTAGATAGAGGTTTAAAGGGTACCACTGTGAATCGAACTCGCCACTCTCTAAATGAGGGTGGACTTCAAATTACGTCTACATTCTTTTTAACAATCACTTTTTAACCCCTCAAAATAGACAATTTGTATTATTTTTAGCTACACCTTATGTTAGTGACTAAATATTGCATAAAAATAGTTTACAGAATTAATATTCGGTATATTTAAAATCGAGATTTCTGATGTTTAAAAAAACTTTTTGCAGTAAATATATAATTTCCTGAAGTATAGAAAGCAAATGCTCTGCAAACAAAATCTTGATGGAATGTACACTGTTTCTCACAAGCTATTTCATCGGTCACTCGGCTCACAATACTGTCCAAATACCTGTTGAAAATACAAACATTTTTATACCAAGCAAAACTTTGGAAAACCTTTTTTCATTGTGTTTAGAGAGAGAGGGGGAGAAAGGATGGATGAATTCAAAAGGTCAGATGTCGATTTATGATTTTTTATTTACGATTGATGATTTATTAAAATTTAATAATTATTCATATGTTTAGAGATATATGAAGTTGAACTAATATTGCACTAAAATCTTCGCAATCTAAACCAGGACCATTATGATCCAACAGAATTTATTGTTTAAAATATTAAAGGTTTTCGACAACAGGATGTAAAGAAATTCGAAAATCATAATTAGATGCGATCAAGTATTCACTAATCAATTAGTTTAGTTTATTTAATTTATAAAAACTTTCTGTATTATGCCAATGGTCGATTTATGATATTTTTTAGATTCAGATTTTTGATCTTTTCCATTATCTATTTTATGTAAATTACCTTGGGTAGGCGTTGTCAGTTCTTTGGTACGGACATGATAACTCTTCAGTATCTATACATGTATTCTCTAGATACTCAGTATCCTAAACATTATAACTCCTCAGTATCTATAAATGTATTCTCTAGATACTCAGAATCCTAAACATGATAACTCTTCAGTATCTATACATGTATTCTCAAGATACTCAGAATCCTAAACATGATAACTCTTCAGTATCTATAAATGTATTCTCAATATACTCAGAATCCTAAACATGATAACTCTTCAGTATCTATACATCTCTTCTCAATATACTCAGAATCCTAAACATGATAACTCTTCAGTATCTATACATGTATTCTGTCAAGATACTCAGTATCCTAAACATGATAACTCTTCAGTATCTATACGTCTCTTCTCAATATACTCAGAATCCTAAACATGATAACTCTTCAGTATCTATACATGTATGTAGAAGGGTAATATATGTCTGAGATTTTATTATTTTCATCTATTTAGTCTTTTCCTTAAAATTCAAAATAGAAAATAGAAATATAGTTTTATATAAAAACACTAAACGCCGATAAAGGTATTGAAGTATAGATATGTTGCAAATATTATTGTGAAAACGTTGCACTCACTGTAAAAAATTCCAATATGTTAAATTACGAACGTTTTTTTAAAAAGAACGAAAGTAAAGTTAGTGTTACAAAAAATGAGATATCCCTAACATTCTGCTCAAGTTTTTAAACAAAAAAACTGTGCAAAATTTATGTTTAAAAGTTTTGAGATTTTAAGATTTGGCATTTATACCGAGTAAGACAGTTAACCAGGTTTTATGATAATAGCTTGGGATTTTATTCTACAGTTAAACCTTTACATTTGGTCATCAAACAGTGAGAACCAGACAGCTGTGGAATAGTAACACGTTACTATAGTGTATTTGATGTTGTTACATTACAAAGAAAAAAATGTATTATATGAAACTTTCTAATTCAAGTTAATATGGGTCTGTTATACACTGCTTAATTGCTGTGTCTTATGTCCATAGACTGTTTAAAGTAATAACTTCTCTAATCGTTGGCTTCTTAATCTGGTTCTTACTTTAGTTAATACTTAACATACGGTCATAACAAGTTAAAAGCAGAATAAACATTGTCTTTAAAATCATTTTTTTTTAACTTTAAAGGGACAGACCGGCTTTGTAAAGTAATTATACTGAATATGCAGTGCAGTGGACAAATTCTTTAGGATTCATTTGAGACATATAAAACATTTCGATGATGTATAAATTTTAAATTGTTTTAAGTTTATAATTGTGCCATGAACATTAGGCATGTATGTTTTGAGGTAAATACCAGTTATAACGATGCATTACAAATAAAAAACTTAAGGTTTTTTTATTGTTTGACGTTGCCAGTGAGTCTAAAAGCGTTTAAAATTTGGTTAATACGAGCTCCAGCCTGGAACTTTAAGTTTAAAACACATCAAATAATTTAATTTTTCAATACCTTACTGTCTTGGTAGCTTGTCGGTTGTGTTCTTCTAGTTTCAGTGCTAAACAAGAAAAAGAGTTAAACCTAAATATATCTACTCTATACCTAATCTAGACTAAACCATTTATCATCCTGTTTTTACATAGTTTCTGCCAGTTTATCTGTATATACAAACACATTTGTTACCTTCTGTTCTTATACGCTTTGTATATTTGAAAACCTTTAAATATATTTCGGAAAGCTAGGGAAAGAATTTCATAATTTAAAACGTTTAAAAGTAATCTAAACTTATTAAAAAGGTAAAAATCGTAAAAAAATTATAATCTTAATCATTGATCATAAGCTTATTTAACTGAAATACCTGAGCGCGCAAGATAGAGTGATAGTGTTATAATCAGCTGATCTGCATCTAAAACCGGTTTCTTGAAGACAAAGCTCTTGACAGTCCCTCCTGTTAGGAACCTAAGAAAACAGGATTGAATATGAAACAAAAAGGAAAACAGAGCAAGATGGAGTATGTTGGAAGACCTTTAAGAATCCGCTTAAAGGACTTTATGGAAGATTCTGTCATTCTTGATCCGGGATCAAATATTGATTTTTATATTATCAGAGAAAAAACTGTGATTCTGTCTCTCTTGATCCGGGATCAAATATAGATTTGGACTTGATCAGAGAAAATATTATGCTTCTTTCACTTTTGATCCGGGATCAAATATTGATACGGACTTTATCACAAAAATATTGTGATTCTGTCTCTCTTGATCTGGAATCAAATTTTGATTCGGATTTGATCAGAGAATATATTGTGATGTTGTCTCTTGATCCAGGATCAAATATTAAGCCTTTTTAATCGATTTTAATGAGTACGGTCTTAAAATACCTGATTCACGATTTTGTTGTTAAATCCTTTGTACTGTACTGTACTGTACTGTACTTTACTGTACTGTACCGTACTGTACTGTACTGTACTGTACTGTACTGTACTGTACTGTACTGTACTGTACTGTACTGTACTGTACTGTACTGTACTGTACTGTACTGTACTGTACTGACCTGATTTACAATCTTGTTGTCGAATCCTTGTAGAACTTTCCCTGGAGTTCTTTCAAAAGCCCAAGCCTTGCCCTGGCATTTTGATACCTGAACAGAAAGCTAAAGTTAGAAAAAGTATTTTTATCATTTAGTGAAAAACTTAATATTGTAAAACCTTGAGGGTGTGGAATGGAGATGTTATATTTTACACATTGAATAGATTTGAAGCAAAGCTCACTAGTACTGTTGCTAACCATATGAACAAAGATGTTTGCATTTAACTATTTAATTGAGAGATAAAAAATGTGTGGAACCTATGCAACTTATTTTATCAAATAAACAGAGGTTCTGCACTTTAACAGGACGGGNAGGGGGGGGGGTTGTGTTAAGTTAATTTCTAAGTTTCCTTCATTTTAAAATACTGTACTATAATTATAATTGAATATAAGAGCTGTAATAAAAACTTTATGAAAAGGAAGTCATTAATTTTAGCAAATTCTTACTGCAGATAACATATCAAGGGTGCAGGTGGATCAAGCAACTGTTTAAAAATATTTCTTTTAAAAATAAATTTGTATATATGTTCAATAACTTTTTAGAACAAAATACCAATTAACATCATTAGGTTTTCTTTCAAGAATTTAGTAATTAAAACCCTTTAGAAGTCCCTACGGAGGATGTAAATCCCAACTTGAAAACTAGATATTATTTTATGGTTTGAGAAAGGGATTCCATTATTTCCCAGATGAATCTAGTTGCATAAATGTCTTACAGAACAATTATAAAGTTGATAACTTTCTCAGTCAAAATCTACCACAAAACAACGACACAGATCTGGACATGCCGAGCAAATTTTTTTCCTGGTTAAAAATACTTCATAAGTTTTTATACTGTTTTTGGAAAAGATTGGAAACCTTATATCCAACGTTATACTTTAGCATTTGACATCAGCTGATACGTAATATAACGTTATATGGTTAACAGGGCATTGTTTTATATATATATATATATATATTTACTTGTCCTCTGAGGCAGATTTTTTCAAAATAGTTGGTTCCATCTCGAGGCATCAGATCATCTCCTCGACCCTAGTATAAAAAATGTTAATGGATTTTTAGAATAAAAACCCAAATTCGTCTCTAGTCAATGTTTCTCTGTGCCAGAAACTTGAAAAAATGAAGGGGCTACAGGTAGAGACCATTGTGTTGAATATTTTTTTATTTTAAACGCGCGATCTCGATATTCAATGCGGGCACTTTAAGTTTGAGGATCAATGCTTGATTCCTTCATTCACTCTGGTATATAAAAGGGGAATCATAATAAACCGTAGGTATCCATAAGATTGAGATCAATGCTTGATTCCTAGATTCACAACACAAAACTTCTGACTTCAACCAGTTCTTATAAGAGTTTAGCTCAACCCTGATCTTGCATTGCGCAGATCTCACCGCTCATTGGTCACAGGACAAATAGATTCAACCAATGAGAGATCAGCGAATACGGGCTTTTCAAAATAAATAAAAAGTCTTTGCAAAATATGTTGTTCCCAAGTGGAGTTAAAGACAAAGTGACTTTTCTTTCTTTTGTTTAAAAAGCTTAGATCTACATTAGTTAATTGCAAGTTGTTAATAAAAAAATAAACGGGGTTGAGTTGATCTATTTATAGAAATTAAACATTTGACACAATTTGCTTCTAACCACGGGCAGCCATAGTGCATTTGAATTTCCGAGCCGAGTCAACCTTTCCGGTCCCAGTTTTTACTGTACCCAGCTCTTGGACAGGACTAGCCGGTGCAACAAGGTTGACGCGGTCAGACTTTATGCTTAATATTGGTTGAATTTACTTTAATTTTGGTAGATACATAAATACCATTTATAGCTAACCTGAGTATTCCGGTCAAGTACAAAACATCTTTGCCCATTGTAGTCTATACTGAAGGCTGGGCAGTCAGCACCCTGATCAACACATAGCTGGGCACACTCCTACAAAAATAATGTTGAGTATTGTGATGTTTGACACACAACTCCTGTTAATTTGATTTAAAGGCTGGACAGTCAGTTTCCTGATCAACACATAGTTGGGCACACTCCTACAAAAATAATGTTGAGTATTGTGATGTTTGACACACAACTCCTGTTAATTTGATTTAAAGTATTGTATCAACACATAGCTGGGCACACTCCTACAAAAATAATGTTGAGTATTGTGATGTTTGACACACAACTCCTGTTAATTTGATTTGAAGTATTGTACTGATTTCTAAGCAGAGCTTGAAGAAACTTTTTAAAAGTAAAATGTTTTTTTTTTAAGAATGAAATATAGACAGAGTGAAAGTTTGTTAGAATGAAACCAAGCAGAGATTTGAAAAATGTTCAATACTTCCAGGGTCCACTTAGCTGTAACAGTTGAACAGCCTGTGGTTAAAATTACATATCTTGAACGAGTACTCTGGCAAATTACATTGTAGATAGATATAGATAGAATCAAATCTACAAGCGAGCCGTGCCATGGGCCCATGAACCATGTATGTACCTGTATCTAAATCCGTATCCGTTTGATCTAAATCCAATGCACTTTATCTAGTCTAGCCTTAATTCATTCTGACTTTTATTTCACTATGAGTATGAACTAGCATGAAGGAGAGGGTTAGATGTTTGCGATATTACTTTAACGAGTAAGTGACGCCGTAGTTTTGATTTTATGCACAAGTATTTGCAAGGGGAATTTATCCGATAAAATGGTAGAAATTCAAAACATTTTTTTCGCAATATCTCTTTAATAGGAGAAGATATAATTGCAAACAATAAGATTTCAATTTTGGTTTGACGCGACTGACCTTTGTTATTCCAGGAGTGTTTGACGAGAGTTGCAGATTTTGTTGTCGAGCAGTTCGAAGAAAATGAGCGGTCGTCTTCTCGAATGTAAATATTCCTCCGTCACAAGTACTTCGTGTACACGCCTTCTCTTTATATGTTGCTCCTGAAAACAGAAAGGTTTTACAAAACTCGACGCTTTTGAATGGACAGGGACCGAATTTAATGAATTTGAGCTACTTCGCTAAACTACCTGCTTCCGGTTCCAATTTGCACCATCGACGATTTAAAGTTAAAGATTCAGGAAAGATTTGAATCGGTAATTCAAATTTGAACCAGCGCGACGGAATACAGTTTAGCTACTCTCCGCAAATTCGTTAAATTCGGTTCCAAAATGAATATCTTGTTCTATTCTAGAGCTGGAAACTTTTAAATAGTTAAAAACTAACCTATATTACGATAAATCCAAAGTTTTGACCAAAACAGGTCTTTTTAAGAGGAAAACTAATTTTAATTCATTTTGTTAAAAACACTTTGTAGATGATATGGTGATATTTTTATGAGAGTTTGAACCCCAGGGAAGGTTTATGGCCGGTCAGAACAAAAATAAAAATATATCTAATGAAAAAAGTAAATCTGCGAAATTTTTACTGTTTCATTTCGATAAAAATATAAGACGTGCAGGTGATCAGGAACAATAAGCTGAGAGTATTTATAGAAATACTGGCGTGAAGCGGGCGCAGCCTCTTTACACTGAGAACCATGGAAAACTGTTTAACAGGAAGACGATATTTAGACACAAGTTATGACTTTAAATAGTCAAATAAACATAGGACACAGTAATTGTAAAATGGAAACAGACCCATGCCACTTAGTAAATGATTTTATAAGTTATTACAGTGAGAACCAGAAAACTAGAGAATAGAAAGACGACTTTACAACAAAGGAAACAGTTTTACAAGTAAGTTATTAAATCACTTATTAATTGAAATGTGGCTCAAGTTTATAGGACTTTTTAAAGTCATCACAGAAGACTTCGACTTTTCCAGAGTTTTCTGGTTATTACTGAAGTAAACTATTTGCATTATATCATTATTGTTTTAATGTTGTCTTCCATTTTCTAGTTTTCTAGTTCTTATTGTAGTTCTGGTTTACCTGGCTCTGTAGGTTTAGGAATATTCGGTAAACTGATAGAATCATCTCCTGATAAGTAGCAACGGTCATCTTTCTGGGACAATGACCGGCAGTTAAAGGCCCGGGCCTAGATGAAGACATTGATTGATTTGGATATACTCGTATGAAAAATTAATTGTTAACAAAAGTTTGTATGTTACTTAATCAATTTGATTGATTTTAAGGAATACAAGAGAAACTTTTATAGTTTGTTTTTAAACAAAGTGTACTGTAGTGTAGCTCAGGATGAATATTTTTTATATTCATGTCAACAAATTGCAGTACACCTTATTTACAAACAAATTTATGGATCTTATATATTTCTTGATCGATTTAGAATTTATTGATAAAAAATGTCAGTTAATGGGTGAAGGAATATCAAGCATGTCTAAAATGTTGAATTACTTTTAACGCTAAAATATTGCGCGGTCAAAAATAACCCAGCGTGAAATATCTGGAATTAGAAGGTATAAAATCTATAATATCGAAACAAGAAATGTTGATAAATATATAAATTGTTTACACGGAAGATTTTCTCATTTCCGCATTCAATTCAGAATCATTTCCTGGAAAGAGGAGGGGGGTTAGGGTTAAACAAAGCGAAGGAGTTAGAGATGGTTTATTTTAGAAGCTGGGTTTGACCCCTCACCCCCCTCTTTCCCGCATGTTCTTGAAGGGGGGGGGGGATTTATTTGTGTCTAGAAGAAAAGGAGAACTTAACATTAACTATTCAGTTTTTAATTTTTAGGTTGAAAGTGTTAAAAGCCTCGATCGTTCTAGGACAACCCGTTTTGTAGTCGTGAAGAAAAGTTTGGCATGGAGTTAGAAATAACAGCAAAATGTAAACTTATATTTATGGACTATGGCTGGTCAAAGAATCTGAAATGCAGTAAGATGATTGAACTGCAGTTTCTAGTATAAATGTTCACAAAGTCACTGCAAGAACTGCAGTTTCTAGTATAAATGTTCACAAAGTCAGTGCAAGAACTGCAGTTTCTAGCATAAATGTTCACAAAGTCAGTGCAAGAACTGCATTTTCTAGTATAAATGTTCACAAAGTCAGTGCAAGAACTGCAGTTTCTAGAATAAATGTTCACAAAGTCAGTGCAAGAACTGCAGTTTCTAGAATAAATGTTCACAAAGTCACTGCAAGAACTGCAGTTTCTAGTATAAATGTTCACAAAGTCAGTGCAAGAACTGCAGTTTCTAGTATAAATGTTCACAATGTCAGTGCAAGAACTGCAGTTTCTAGTATAAATGTTCACAAAGTCAGTGCGAGAACTGCAGTTTCTAGTATAAATGTTAACAAAGTCAGTGCAAGAACTGCAGTTTCTAGTATAAATGTTAACAAAGTCAGTGCAAGATCTGCAGTTTCTAGTATAAATGTTCACAAAGTCAGTGCAAGAACTGCGGCTTCTAGTATAAATGTTCACAAAGTCAGTGCAAGAACTGCAGTTTCTAGTATAAATGTTCACAAAGTCAGTGCAAGAACTGCAGTTTCTTGTATAAATGTTCACAAAGTCAGTGCAAGATCTGCAGTTTCTAGTACAAACGTGAATAAAGTCAGGGCAAGAACTGCAGTTTCTAGTATAAATGTTCACAAAGTCAGTGCAAGATCTGCAGTTTCTAGTATAAATGTTCGCAAAGTCAGTGCAAGAACTGCAGTTTCTAGTATAAATGTTCACAAAGTCAGTGCAAGATCTGCAGTTTCTAGTATAAATGTTCACAAAGTCAGTGCAAACTGAAAAAGTTAAATGTTGACTTCCACTATATCTTTGTTATAATGTCTACTCCCTGTTTTATATACGTTCTTATTCAACTCCAGAGTTTTCAACTTTAAACAATGTTTAAAGGGACTGTAAGTGAAATTTAAAGTAACTCTGCAAAGATGGCAATTCCCGAATCTCAACGTTTTTCCCAATCAAGCATGATATTTATGTTTATAGTTTAATCAAAACTGTTTATTTCAAAATTGTGGGTTTTCTACAAAATTGACTAGCTAATTTTTATTACAGGATATCATATAAAATTCTACAGAATTAGACATTTTTCAAGCTAAAAATAAAACAATATCTTCCACTATTGATCAGATATAGGTTTCACGGACTTTAACTTGAAATAAGGCTTACTGTTCCTTTAACTTGAAATAATGCTTACTGTCCCTTTAACTTGAAATAAGGCTTACTGTTCCTTTAACTTGAAATAATGCTTACTGTCCCTTTAACTTGAAATAATGCTTACTGTCCCTTTAACTTAAAATAACGCTTACTGTCCCTTTATAACTTGAAATAACGTTTACTGTCCCTTTAACTTGAAATAACGCTTACTGTCCCGTTAACTTGAAATAACGCTTACTGTTCCTTTAACTTGAAATAATGCTTACTATCCTTTTAACTTAAAATAACGCTTACTGTTCCTTTAACTTGAAATAATGCTTACTGTCCCTTTAACTTGAAATAATGCTTAAAACTTTTCTTTTCCCCGTTCACAAACTTTCAGGGCTTTGGAAAAATTTCCATATTTTGCACTTCAACACTTCATTTTATTTTAATAAAAGAATATTGAACATTTTAAAATTTAAAAAGTACTTTAAAATAATAATTTATCTTGCAGGAAAAAGTGCCGTTTTACAGAAAAAAATAATGAATCACAAATTTTGGTTTTTTAATCCCTTTATCTTTGTAACCTGATGTCGCAGACCATTAATATTTCAGATTATATGGATAGTCTTATTTTAGAATATCAAAGATTTGCATAATCTGATTGTAAATTTATAAAGAAAAGTACTCAGTTGTTTTAAATAATAAAAAAGTTTGGTTTTGTCTACTGTACAGTTGCTGTTGTTGTAAATAAAGTATATAGGTTTCCAGTAGATTAATGGCTTTCTGTCAACTGTACAATTGATATTGTTCTAAATAAAGTAAATAGGTTTCCAGTATATTAATAGGTTTCTGACCACTGTACAATTGCTGTGTTTAATGCTCTTCGAATTATTTATTATTCAAAACTTGAGCCTTCTTCACAGTTTTATGAGCCCCACTGTATCAAATATAAACAATTAAAAATCTTATTTCTGTCTTTATCAGGTTTTTAATGATATTTCTTCTATTTTTTAGAACTCTGAACAATAAATTAACAAAGTTTACGACAAAATATGAAGAACGGTATATTTTTTTAAAGGGGGTGAACCATAGATAAAGATAGATTGCGCATAAGACGCCATTTTTCATCTTGAAAGATATAAATGTACAGAGATGTTTTAAAGATATTCCTATTATATAGATTAACTAGGTCGGTTGTGAACATTGGCTGTTCTTATGTCATTGAGTACTTGTGGTGTACATGAGTTCTGTAGAGAGAAATTTAAGTTAGTTTAATCCTTCTCATGTCCTTCTTCAGTTCTCGTCAATATGATATATTGCTCAGTGAAATAATTTGATATTCTCAAAATAAAATTCACTCCTGAGTGGTTTAATAAAATTATGAAATCCATTAAAACACCAAACCACCCTGCTTATCATTGAAGTACACTATGACCCCTAGAAGTATGAGTTCGCGGACTGTACAATTCTTGGTGATTTTGCGTACATAAGCTATCT